GATTTCGAGCTCTGGCATACAGGTTATAATCAGACTCACTGCGAGTTCGTAAATAACGCTTGTAGGCTTCTTTCTTGGTCTTTAGCTGAGTCTTAACTGCACTGGTCATCCACTGGGACTTTTTGACTCCTCCAAGCGTAATCTTGGGTACATAGGCATGAACTGCAGACATAACCGTGTCTTTAAGAACCGACCATGAATCAGCCACATTCATGTCCTTAATACAGTCCGAAATATTCGCCGCAATCACTGTTTCACGGAGTTTATCATAGTCGCCTTTCGCAAAGTTCAAACGTTCACGCTTCCGAAGCGTCTTTTCTGCACTTAAGCACTTAAGCCTCTAAATGTAACTTAACCCTCTACCGCCTAACATGAGTAACCGGAGCAATATCGTCACAAGCCTACTTCCAAAAAGGATACGTTCTAGCGAGCGCAAAAGAACGCACTGAAGGTTGCCGCCACGCACGGCAACTTTAAAATGTTCTCTGTTGCATACAACTGTCCTCGGTTTGCTACACTCAATAGTTTACGTATAATTCAAGTTGAAAGTTGCGTTCCCGGAGAATGACATACAATTATACGTAAACTATTGAGTGTAGCAACCCAAGGACGTTTGTACGCAACAGAAAACGTTTTAAAGTTGTACGTGGCAGCAACCATCAGTGCAAGTCATTTTGCGCTCACTAGAACGAATCCTTTTAGGGAAGTAGGCTTGTGACAATATTGCTCCAGTTACTCATGTCAGGTGGTAGTGGGTAACGCAATAGAATCGTTTCTCCTGAAGCTGCACTCATTTTCTGTCGCATAAATTCAGTTTGTGCAAAGCCGATTCAACCCAAGATAGGGCACGCACTGAAAGCAGGTTTGCCCGCGCGGGCAACCTGCTCCAACCTGCCACAAGAATGAACATTGGATAACAATGTAAGTGTTCACAGTGAAAACCTGTACGAATAGGCTTCTGTATTCTATGGTTTCAGTCGCCAGCCTGAGCAGGTAACCAGCACGCTGGCAACCTGCCTTCACTGTGTGCGTACCCATAGGCTAGGTCAGCATCAGGTTGTACACTGTCATAGCACACATTGAAGATAGTGACTGCTGGGAACTCATTATTCTGTTCACTTTTGAGTGGCATATTTGAAATAACTCCTGAGAATCTAAAGAAATATCAAATCTGGGAAAACGACGGATTTAAGGTTGGGTTACGTTGCCCCATCACTTAGTTTTGCCCTTGAAAGAGACGTCTTTAATGACATCTTTCGTAGTCTGAACAAGGTAATCTCGAACATAAAGGTAAATAAAACAAGAATTGTTCTCATCTCTTCTACAATTTAGAATTAGAAATACTCCTTACATTAGAAGCATAGGAGCATAATCGAGTCTCACAAGCGATTTCCAGCCCCAGAGAGATTTTGGCTCAACATTTAGTTGGTGGCAGATAGGAACATGTTCAAGTAAATCGGTCTCAAGTGTAGCCGTCAGGCATCAGACAATGGCTGGAGTGAGTACGCGCTTAGATTAACGGAGATTACCAGCAGATTAGCGGCAGTCACGGACATAATTTGACTGTTTTTTGGATGAATGAAGGTACAGGCAATGATAGAAACGTAGTTACAATAATCAAACGTATTTGAGGGGTGATACGTTAGGCAATATTCCAGCATCGACGAAGAAGTGTCAAAACATACATGGTTAAAACGGTAAATTAAAGAAATCAAACACAGAATTTGCATTTCCTTAGATGATCAAGAATAATTATGAAGATGCAGAAGAAGCAAGGTTATCCGATTTGACACTGAATACGTGTATTTTCCACCAATGCTACAATAATTTTCATCAAAATTAAAATGTCACTGATGCTACAATCCTAACTATATGCAGAGCTAACATCCGCTCTTACACTTGAATTAAGCCTTGAGAATTTGGTGGACGTTACAATTCAGGCCACTCGCACAAGGGCTCCGGACATCAACCGAATATCTGACATTGAAATTACTCAGGTGTAAGGCTCAAGAGCAGCAGAAGAGGATTGCTAGTACGATAGTTTAAATCATATAAATTAGTTACGAGTGACGTCAAGGCAATTTATCGACACTTGCCTTTGTGAGCATTGCCCGTAGTGCGGAATCCAGGCTTCAGATCTGAGCCAACAACGTTCCGTCTTGTGGTAAAATAGTCTATCCTCAATTCAATTTAGTGTCATACTAGTAATTCTATAAAGAGGCATATTTGAGAGAGAACCTGAATTAAATAATTAAAATTAATGCACAGTGCAACGCTGTGGCGATAAATGAAATGGAATCTGAACTTAAGATTTCAGGCATTTTACCATTGCCAGTGGCGGCGAACATTTTTGTTTGATCTTATAACAAGTTACGTCCGTTACATTCATCGTGTCTGTCGAAAATCAACAATTTTGCGTTCATCTTGTATTTTCTAGAGCAAAAATCGTGCATTTTTGATGACTTAGTTAGAGCAAAAATCAGGGCGAGATGTCCATGTCAACCACAGGGCTGGCACGGCTTTCCTTCTTGCCGTCCTGTTTCTCGTAGCCCTGTTCCTCTTCGTCGTAGTTACGCGCCACCTGATGTCAAAAAATTCCGTAAGACATGCATAAAGTTACTGAATACTGTATATTATTACACAAGAATGAGACCCCAAATATATCTTGGAAATGTCACGTATGCAGAACACTATCATCGGAAATTATACTTGTATTTTCAGTCTGCCGCATAGTCCAGAAGTTCAGTCTGCCGCCTAGTTTTAAATTTGCGAATCGCAAGTTTAGAAGGAAATTAAAAGCAAAGAGATCCTGACGATGGAGCTGGACTCCGAAACGTTTTCAATGTCGATATGGTGAATTTGCTTAGCGGAAATTACAAACACCACCTGGCGTAAATAAATCGCATGAGCAATGCATGAAGTAACGCAATATATTATTACAAAATAATGAGACCACAAATATAACTCAGAAATATTTCGTATGCGAACAATATTAACGGGAATTATACGCGCCACTTCCCGCGAACAATAACATTTGAGCAATATAAAAATCCATCGAGCAATGCATAAAGTTTACATTCAAGTTTTCTCTCTCAATTCTCATTGCTCTGTGAAGTAATCTTTATTAATTCACCGTATTTTATTGGTAATCGTAAGGAATAACTCGCACGAGTAGATTAATTTCATCCTAGCAACGAAGAATAATATTTTAGCATACACAAAGAATAGTATCAAAAAAATTCAGAATAAAAAAACGAGGCAAGAACGAATAACCATGGAGGAAGGCAGTGTGCATCTACATCGGTGGCTGCAAGCTAGTAACAAATACCAGTGTACTTCTCTTATCCGTTCACTGGTGTTGGCTTTCTCTAAAATCTATCTAGTCCATGAATTATTGTTCTTCAACCACTTACCATGGATTCTTTTTTCTCGTCCTTTTCTTTCTCTTCTTTCTTCTCTCGGTCGCGCTTTTCGTCTCTATCTCTGCGTTCTCTTTTCTTGTCCTTGCGATCTCTTTCTTTATCACGGTCTCTTTCCTTATTGCCACGATCTCTTTCCTTTTCACCACCACGATCTCTATCTCTATCGCCACGATCTCTATCCTTATCACCACGATCTCTTTCTCTATCGCTACGATCCTTTTCCTTATCGCGGTCTCTATGGCGGTCTTTCTCCTTCCGGTCTCGATCTCTACTGGACTCGCGCTCTTTTCGGTCCCGGTCTCTGCTGGACTCGCGCTCTTTTCGGTCCCGGTCTCTGCTGGACTCGCGCTCTTTTCGGTCCCGATCTCTTCCAGACTCGACCTCTTTTCGGTCCCGGTCTCTGCTGGACTCGCGCTCTTTTCGGTCCCGGTCTCTGCCAGACTCCGGATCTTTCTTGTCACGATCACGTCTGGACTCGGACTCTTTTTTGTCGTGATCTCTAGAAGGCTCAGAGTCTTTCTTGTCCCGGCTTCTGCTGCTCTCAGAATCCTTGCGTTCACCTTCCTTGTTGAGCTCGGACTCCTTCCTGTCGCGGTCTTTGCCGGACTCGGCGGGCTCCTTCTTGTCGCGGTCTCGTCGATCTCGACCGCTGCTGTCCTTCTTGTCACGGCTGTGGCTGCGGCGATCGCGCCTGCAAGTGAATAGTTTCGTGGGTACTTCGCATCGACATAAATCGAAGGATGGTCAAAAATAGGTTTAAAAAGGGTTAGTCGACAAAGAGTCAGTGTTCGTAGGTAGGTCTTTAGTGTTCAATTAGCATTTCGATAAATTTAAGACGCAACTTGAGCACAACAAATTTCCAATAACATGTGATATACCATATAACATCAATTATTCAAGGTTTATGTCAATAGAAACCTAAAATAGGTTGTCACAATTCCAATGTGTTCGAGCACATGCCACATTTGCTCGAGTTTAGTTTAGTTGCATGTTTACTAGCGCTTCAGATATGAAAAACAAGCTTCTGCTGCTTTTTAGATATGAAAAGCAACAGAAACGAAGACACTCGAACAAGAGGTCGCTTACACGGGACGTCGGCCGCCCGCACGAAAGAGACAGAGAAGGGAAATGTAAGAAATCCTACCTACATAATAACTTCTCGAGCACACGCCGCATTTTCTCGAGCACACGCCCCGTTTGCTCGAGTACACGCCACATTAACTCAAGCACACACTACCTGTGCGAGGGTGAAGGAGTCCTGCGCTTGCTGGAGCGCGAAGTGGGCGAGCGCGAACGCTTGCGGTCCCGTGAGCGCGAGCGATGCTTCTTGCGGCGCGCGGGAGAACGCGACTTGGAGCGACGACGGCCGCTGCGTCGCGGGCTGGGGGAGTGGGAGCGCCGGTGCTGGGAGAGGAGGAGGGACATTAGGCCTTAGTCTAAGGATACATTTACCAACAGCTATGCTGTTCCCATGTAAAAAAACAAGGGCATAAATAAAGGAAAAATCAAAACGCGTAGAAATTTACAAGTAGCTGCCGATTTTCATGACGTCTAACATGTTCACAACATAACGTCTAACATGTCCACAACATAACGTCTAACATGTCCACAACATAACGTCTAACATGTTCACAACATAACGTCTAACATGTTCACAACATAACGTCTAACATGTCCACAACATAACGTCTAACATGCTCCAGGCTAGCATCCATTATGATCATCCTCCCAACTCCATGAAATAAGATCAAAATTTGTGAAAATTTAAGTAAAAAGTCTCATCTTTTAATTCGAAATTCACAAACAAAAAAAAAAGAGAATGACTGAACGTCTGAGAAAACTTAAAACTGAACCATCTTACATGCATCCTACTCTGCAAGGCAAACGATTTCAAAAATGATTTCCCACTAAAAGTGAGCATCCATAGAAGGTTAACAAAATCGGCTAAACTGGCTAATTGAAAACAGGCATAAATAGATAATTGAAATGTACGCTGACTGCTTGACTGGCTAAACAATTTCTTCAATAAGTAGATGTAGTGTCAAGAATGATGTAAATATGTTGTGTAGTTGCATAATGAAATCCGCTACTTACACTCTTTTCTTTGTCCTTATCCCGAGACTTCTTCTCCGGCGATCGATCTTTCTCCTTCTTAGCATCCTTCTCTTTCTTAGTTTCTTCCTCTCCTGAACTCACTTTTGAGTTCTCTTGAGGCTCAGTTTTCACGGCCTGACTCTCTTTCTCGACCTCAACACACTCAGGCTCTTCCTGTTGTAGTTCTTCCTTGACTTCTTCTTTAACTTCTCCATCTCCTATAGCAATTACTTCCTCTTCTTTAGGCAGCTGCTCTTGCTCGCCAGGCTTTTCGCTGGCTTCAGGCTTCGTACTTTCGGATCCTTTACTGCTGCTGCTACTCTGGTCTTTTTTGTCGTCTTTATTCCCATCCTTGTCTTTGTCCTTATCCTTGTCTCTGTCTTTGCCCTTATCTTTATCCTTGTCCCGATCTTTGTCCTTATCCCTGTCTTTGCGATCACGATCACGGCTCGATCTTTTCTTATCCTTGTCACGATCTTTGTCTTTTCTAGAGCTCTTCGATCGGGGCGACCGAGAACGAGACTTCTTATGAGACCTGCAAATAAATATCGAATAAAACCGAGCATCCAAATCACGTCAACCCATTTTCTTCTTCTATTTTTTAATGAAAATACAGGACTCTTTCAATTGCGATTTCCTATAAAGTTGGAAACTTCAGATTACCTATTACACTTCTATTTCCTTCAAGTTGAAGACTGAAAATTAATTCGCACATTCCACGAAACAAGAAAATAATCATGAATTTAAAAAAAGTGTCCATGGTACTAGGACCAGATTTTATAATATATTTTTAAACTATTCTATTGTATAACATATGATATTATAAAATGAACCAGAATATTATACCTGGAGCGTGACCTCCTCCTTGAGCGGGACTTGGAGCGGGAGCGGCGCCTGGAGCGGGACCGCTTCCTGGAGCGCGAGCTGCGGTGGGAGCGCGACTTGGACCGGGACCGATGACGGCGGGACCTAGGGGCGAGGCGGTGTTAGGGGACACGGCGGTGTTGGGGGACACGGCGGTGTTAGGGGACACGGCGGTGTTGGGGGACACGGCGGTGTTAGGGGACACGGCGGTGTTGGGGGACACGGCGGTGTTAGGGGACACGGCGGTGTTAGGGGACACGGCGGTGTTAGGGGACACGGCGGTGTTAGGGGACACGGCGGTGTTGGGGGACACGGCGGTGTTAGGGGACACGCCGGTGTTAGGGGGATAATGGATCAATATTCCAGCATAACACATAAATTCAAAATCACAAATATGGACAGGCCACTCAATTACAAGACCACAATTTTACCAACGGAATTCTAACAACAAACTCTAGAGCAAAAATATGCATCTAGACAGAAAACTCACTTGAAACTGTAAGCCTTATACAATCATAAGTTATGTTTTCGCGACACGGTATTTTCGGTCGAAGTATTAGAATATTTTCAAAGAGCAGCGAATATTTAGAAAGAAATATGACTCATTGGACAATGCCAGCAGGAGAAATATTGCCAAGTCTCACCTGGAGCGTGAGCGCGACCGGCTTTTGCGTCGAGATGGCGAGCTTCGGGAATGAGATCTTGACCTGCGTGGGGTAAGGTTATTCAACATGATTTAGTGAACCTGTACTATAACAAAAAATATAACTTAGTAATCACTGCAGTGAGTGACAGAGAGCGCATTTTCTCGTCGACGAAAACGTGAAGTAACGGACGGACAGACAAACGGACGGATATTGCGAGCACAATAGCGCCTTTTTTCCATAAACGAGGAAATGCGCTAAAAAGTATACATATACTTAAACCCTCATCACCGGAATCTAAGCTATGGCGCGACGGGAATGAGATCTTGACCTACGTGGCAACATGTTTCAAAGTGCTTTATTGAACCATAACCTAAACAAAATTTATGGGCTTACATAAAATAGACATTGACATGCGTGACCCAACATTATTCGAGGTGATCTTCTGAACCCCTATCACCAGAACAAAACTTGAGATACTTCTGGGAAAGCATAACATCAGTCATGACTACAAAAAAATTCCGAGCACAATGCCCCAGTGATACTGTTAGTAATCAGTTGTTTTGTCTCGTTTGGGCTTGAAAGCAAAGGTTTTCAAAGTGCTAGTGTCAATTAATCCTTTCAATAGTCTTACCTGAACTTGAAAGCCTTAGTTTCAAGGGCGCTATTATCCATTAGGTATCTCTCTTGTCTTACCTGGACTTGAAAGCCTTAGTTTCAAGGGCACTATTATCCATTAATTACGGTATTTCTCTTGTCTTACCTGGACTTGGAAGCCTTAGTTTCAAGGGCACTATTATCCATTAATTGTCTCTCTTGTCTTACCTGGACTTGGAAGCCTTAGTTTTAAGGGCACTATTATCCATTAATTGTCTCTCTTGTCTTACCTGGACTTGGAAGCCTTGGTTTCAAGTGCACTATTATCCATTAACCATCTCTCTTGTCTTACCTGGACTTGGAAGCCTTAGTTTCAAGGGCACTTGGGTCCATGAGGGCCATGGGGTCAACAGTGCTCAGCAAACTCTGCGCCTGCTTCACCCGCTGCATGGCTTCCTCAATCTCTCGCTCTGCCGCTTCATTGCTTTTGGTCACGGGCTTCACGACCGCCACCGTCGAGTGGTTCACGCTGCACACATGCAAATCCAGTCTCAATCAGTTGTGAACCTCAATATTTTTCCTTGATTCATTTATAAATTTCACAAAAAAAGAATATAGAGAGGCATGTTTAGCCAGCCGAAAGTAATAAGTTGGTAGGTGAACTATAATAGGAGAAGTTAGCTTTTACTTTTCCAGTGTGTCTACACCAAAAATCGAGATAATGGTTTACGGTCAACATTAGGATGTCAACAAATGTTTCTAGGGAAAAAATGATTCAACACATGAATGCACACACGTGATTCTTCATGTTAATGATAAAAAAATAAACATTGCAAACCAATAAATATTTTTCAGAATCAGTTGATGTTTCGAAACTAAGTGAATGGATTTTATGGGCTGAGAGTAATGCTTTGGTACAAGAAGCTTTTTGAAAATGGAAAAACAGATAAGTATTGGTGAGCTATCCTGACTTGCCATTGACACATTTATGAATGAGATGTGGTGTAGTATATATAATAAAAAATATTTTATTATTGAATACTTAGTAATCAATGTGGCAAAATTGTGCGAGTCAAACATTCCTTCCAAAAAAATATAACTCAGTACCTACTCACTGCATTGAGTGACAGAGAGCGCATTTTCTCATCGACAAAAACGTGAAGTCACGGATAGACAGACGGACATGGCGAGCACAATAGTGCATTTTTTTCATAAATGAGAAAATGTGCTAAAAATCACTCACTTAATTCGATTGCCATTAAGTATCTGAGAATGGAGCTTGAGGGCAGCAGGTATGGAGAGCTGGCTACTGAACTCGACCAAGGCGTTGAGTTTCCCAGTTGTTGCATCAACATCTCCAAGTCTTAAAAACTTCACATCACCCGCACTGCTGGCAAAGTCCTCCAGCTGTTCTGCTGTAGTCTGAAAACACAAAAACCTTGATGCAATTTCAGGCAATGTAATAAGCCACATTCGAGTACATTAATTTTTGATAAATGCATTACAAAACAGCTGTTGTTTCTAATTGAGATGAGTTGAATTCAGACCAATAGCCAAAGCTTGAGAAATTACAAACATGATATTTTCCATAGTGAATTGAAAGATATTTACTACCATAGCATGAAATGAAAATATTATAAGTTCAGGCAACCTAATGAGTAAGGCATAGCATGCTAAGCTGTCCTCTCACCTCAGGAGGTAAATTATCAAACACAAGCGTCCTCCTGATCTCATTGACTTTGAAGCTCTCGGTGGTGGCCGGCAAGTTTGGATACTCGGGCAACCCTTGCTGGGTAAGCTCAGGGTCTGTTGTTCTCAGGATGATCCCATCAATCTGAGTAAGACAATATAGCAGACAGGGCACAGACAGCATTCACAGTTTAATGTAGAGGGATAAAAAACATGTATACCAAAAATGAAGTAATTTAATAAAGTTTTATAAACCTAGAACCACAAGAATCAATACTTCTCTTTTGAACCCTTCTGAAGAAGGGTGTATCTTTGGAATAAATACACTGATAACTCCTGCCGTAAGACTCGTCAATATAAAAAATTATAGCATGAATAATGAAAACCCATTTTTTAGAATATTACTACTGCACATCAACCACGATTGAAACAATATAAGTATTTTCCTGAATAGAGAAGTACCTACATCTATAAAGATACATTTCATTATGGTATGTATTCCATTACCTCAGTCTTGACATGTGAAGGCCAAGCCACCTCCTTCAGGAGGTTGGGGAAACTAGCAGTAAAATTGAGGAGTTCAATTGCTTTAGGTTCATCTGGCATGTCCCCTGGCACGTATGGGATGATCAGCAGGGCACGGTCAATGAAGACAATGTTGGTGAGGTGCTGCGCGACTCCGACATTGTCACGCTCACTGAACTTGATGAAGCAAATTCTTGACTGCACAGGGATGGCAACATCACGACTGCAAAGAAAGAACACTCACTCAAAAATTTGCCTCACAGGAATCATTTTTAATCAACATACGGAGTTAAAAAATAGGTTTCACAATAGAATGATAGAAAATGTGTTGTACATGATACCATTTATTAAAAAATTCAGACTACACCTACACTATGTAGTAATCTTTCTACTTGGGAAATAGGCCTCTTTAAATAAACTTTGAAGAACAGGAAACAAACTCAACAAGTTATGGAATATACCTATTCTTCATTGTTTTGTTATGATCAATAATACAAAATCAAGAGCCTAATGTGTTAGGTATTGAGGTGGAATTGAAGCAGCACATCAGATGTTAGTTACAGATATAATCAATCTATGACTAAATTGAGTCACAATTGTCATATTACAATCAACTGGGGTGGCTTCAGCCACCAGGGGTGACTTTGGCCACCACTACAACAGAAACAAGTGGCAGCAAAAAAAAAATAATAAACTTTGGCCAACATTTATTATTTTGTATTGCAGCCACTTGTTTCTGTTGTAGTGGTGGCCGAAGTCACCCCGAGTGGCTAAAGTCACCCCAGTTGACAGTACCTATGCCATAGTTTGCATCATTGAAATACATTCAAGCAGTAGCCAAATAATTGCTTTCAAAACTAAGACTCCAAGTAAGCATCAGTAAAATTCTGACTTGAAATGAGTAAAAAAATGTATATATTAGTCTATCTTCAATTAATCACTTTCACAGATCACAAACAAACTATCATATATACATCAGCAAATGTTTCACACATTCAATAGCAGCAACCAACAGATCATTTAATATATTTCAAATATACTATATACCTCACTAAATGATAAGCTCCATTGTAATTATCCTCATCACTTACATGATAGGGAAGAGTCGGATGTCATCAATCTTGCCAACAAATGAAAATAGAGAAGAAAGCTGATCTTTAGTTGCCTGTGGTGCAATATTTGACACCTGCACTATTTTTGTTTTGTTCTTCATGATGTGGCTCATGAAGTTTACATGATTAGTCTAAAAAAATCTGTCAAAAATCTAATTATGAATTTATGAAACATTGAAACTACTGATAGATGGCACAAGAAAGAATACATCAATAGTAGAATGGTTAAAAATGGTACTAATGGGCAATGAAAGGGTGTATCAGTAGAATGTGTGGTCCCAAATGCATTATTTTACATGATAAGCCTGCATCTTATTATTAACACAGAAACTGATACAGTACTGTAACTATGGAGTTCTATAGCATTTTTTCAAAAGACAGAAGTATACCGTCAAACAGGGTAAAAAGGGACAGTTTTGAGTGTTTTTGTTAATAACTTCTTACCATGAAACATTTCACAAACAAGTTTGGACTAATTTTATAGCTTTTTGTGAGGGCTATCGCTTGGCATTTCCAGAAAAAATCCATATGCTATTTGTAAGGTGCCAGATGCAAAATAAAAGCGTCCCAAATTAAAGTCTGTATCTGTAAGCTTACAGTCTGCGACTGTAATTTTTCAATCTGTATGTGTAAGCTTACAGGATGGCTTGTAATTTCACACCATTTAGTTGGATAGAGTAAATTCCCTATAACAAAAAAAGATTGTAAAAACATACCTGAAAGAGAAAGGAATATTCTAGTGCTAGTGATTGTAACAGTCAGTTATGCTAGTGACTGTAACAGTCACTAGCATTTATCTTAAAAAACAGTCAAACTGTTCTTAGGGTAAAATTAGAGATGTGTGGTAAGATTAGATCCGTGGATTAGAGATCCGTGGGCAGTGGTGGGCACAGCTAACCTAAAAGTTAGCTTCGATAACCGCTAATCTGCTAACTGAAAAGTTAGCTTTGATAACACTAAACCAATAAATCACCAAAAAATGTAGCAGAATTTGCCGCTAATGCTAATTTTTAATATATAAATTTAGATTTGGCTTAATTTGGGAGGGGGGGAAACTCTGAAAAAAAGGCCTATAGAGCTGAACTTTAAGCCTTGAATAGGAGCTTTCCAAAAAGATGTAGCATGCCAAGATCAGAAGATGATCAAGATGTACGTAACATAAATAATTAAATGAACAAATGAAATTAGGCAGTAGTTGACATTCAACATACAGTTTATTAAACGAATAAGAAATATTAAGGTTACACCAGGGTTACACACTCCTTTTACTCTGGCTTGCCCTTCGCCTTCATCCCCTCGAGGTAATGATTGTTGCCCTTCATGAACATCAGCCTCTCAAAGTTGGCATCTGACTGGGTGGCTCTCTTGGCACTCAAGATGTCCTTGCCTATGGAAAACAGGCGCTCAACTGCAGCACTGGATGGGATGGCTGTGTTGTACTTAACGAAAAGGTTCATCAACACCTGCACGCCCAAGAAGGTCACGTCAGTCAATTCCTCCTTCGAGCTGCTTTCCAGCCAGGTCTTCACCAAATTCTGTGCCTTGGACTTCAGTGACCCGTGGCTCCTTCTGCACTCCATGGGCTGAGTAATGCTGCTGAAGAAGTCATTTTCCCCATCCTCGTCATTGCTGGTGATGCTGCTGCCCTCCTCAACGGTCTCCCTCAGGGCTGCTTCCACGGCAGTCTCCAAGGCCTTCGGTACCCTGCTGAGATGGCTGTGATTATGCTTTTCCAGCCAGAACAGGCAAAACTTAGGGTGGAAGGCCGCTGCCAGCTGGCACTCCTTGTCTTCTAGGAGGGACCCAAACCTTTTCGTGATGCCTGCCAGCATTGCGTCCACCAGAGGACTGCAGTACAACATGTCTTGTGTTACTACCAGTAACACAAGAGTGACAAGACGTGATTGGCTGACAAACATTTGATGACGTAGTCAGCCGTCAGTGTGGGCGTGGCACACAGCTTACGATACTTAGCATTAAATCAGAGATTTTAAAACATTTTTAGCGGACTGCCAGTTAGCGGAACTAAATTTAGCGGAAGCTAATCAGTCCGCTAAAGGTTTTCAAAGTTAGCTGAACAGCTAATCCGCTAAGGAAAAAGTCAGCTTCGCTAATTAGTGGTTAGCGGAACTGTGCCCACCACTGTCCATGGGACTTTGTAATTGTAAATAAGTTCGCAGCTCGTAAATGACTTTTCACAGCAGTGCCGGGATAAATCCCAGCATTAGCATTAGTTATAATATTTTTTAGTATCCGCGCACATGGACATGTGCATTCTGGGTTACTCTAAAAATTTTAGCAGTCAAGGAGCATCAATGGGTCCCTTGTTGACAGGATAAACAAACAAAGGGACACGTGGGGAAGGCAAAGCAGCACTGTCCCGCAAGTGTCTATCCCAGCACTCACAGATGGGTGTCAATGAAACAGACTTGCTTAACATCTTATATCAAGTCCATCTTCACATGACATGCTCTGCAAAACAGAGTACCTACCATAAGAAAGGCAGAACTTATATTAGTCTTAACTCTTAAAGGTAATTACTTTGAACATACCGTAAGTTGGCAACGACTGAGCAATTCAATATGCTTTAGGATTATTGATTTCTATCTAGGTGGCATAATCCATACCCAGGATGGTGCCGTTTTCCGCGGATTAATCCGGCGTAAACGAGGCTCCAAGCCCTTCTACTGGCGTACAACGCGGCGTACAAAGAGCTAAAATAACGTTATTGGCGCACACGCCCGGCGTACGTCCGCATCTGGCTTGTCCCGACGTACCGTACGTCCGCATCTGGCTTGTCTTGGCGTACATCCGCATCTGGGTGATCTGGCTTGTCCGGACATACGTCCTCATCTGGTTTTGAGCATTTTAGTGCATACTAACGCGTTTTATGGCAATTTAGTGCCTTCTAATGCGATCTAGTGCGTTCTATTACGATCTAGTGCGTTCTATTACGATCTAGTGCCTTCTAATGCGATCTAGTGCGTTCTATTACGAACTTTATTATATTATTAACAACATGGCACATTATAACAACATTATATTATTAACAACATGGCACATTATAACAACATAACGCATCATAACATAGCACAGTTTAACAACACACCATATTATAACAACGTAACACATCATCACCTAGCACAGTATTAGCACAGTATAACAACATAACACATCATAACATAGCACAGTATAACAATATAACATAACACATCATAACACAGCACAGTATAACAACATAACATAGCACATCATATCATAGCACAGTATAACAACATAACATAACACTTCATAACATAGCACAGTGTTGCCGGGTCTAAAATGTCTTGCGCCGCAGGTGAGATAAACCTGTTATCTGCTTCTAACTAACTGGCAACAACCCTACTCTGAATGAAGGAAAATGAAAGACTGGTTCTAATGCAAAATGAATTAAAATATGGGACAGTAAATAAACACACAACTCAATAAAATTGCAAATGAAATGGTTGTTTTAATTTGAAATGTGTAATGAAAATATGCTAGTGAATTGGATGTAAGGAGTGAATTAATTTAGAATGTGTAATGAAAATGCACTGGTTAATCGAATGAAAGGAGCATGGACAGGTGGAGATGAGCAGATATAACTGCAAACAAAAAGAACAGAATAAAAATGCAAATCATGAATGACTGATAACCTGATGGGAGGTAGAATGTAGACAAAGCAAGAACAATTAAACTCCATAAAACTAGTAGCAGCTCATCTCCATATTGTGAATTTATCTTTACAATTAATAAGTACTTAACGAGGGTTGAATTGAAAGGAATCACAAGAGAACAGATAAATAAAGGAATGCTGCAAGATGAATTGTGAACATAACTAGCTGGAATTATTTATAATCATAATCCAATATAATAAATTAACTTCTTCAAACTAAACCATATCAGTCAGAGATGAATACAACCAAAGTAAATGCAAGGAAACACAAGAAATTAATATCAATGAAATTAGCAAAATACAAAGACAAAACTTAACCTAAATTATCAATGAATAAATTATATAAATTTCTATGCCACTCACCAGTGCAACTGAATGCCCAGGCTGAGATACTGAGTAGGAATCCAAATACTAAGAGTGATAATTCAAGTTTGCAAATTATACTTTGGTCATCTACACTGAAAAAGATAAAAATATTGAATTTAATTTAAATTGAGTTGGATTGAGAACTGAAGATATATGATAATTAGTAAAGAAGAGACATGAAGGTTGGGCTACACAGTAGCCTAATTTAACCTCCGGTAACATGCCCCCCCACTAGCGCAATCCTTTGTACACTGGAGGTCCAAAACACTCGTACACCCGCTTAAAATTTGTGCAAATGGTGCATCTTTCCCACAACCCTATGTAGAAACACTCGGCATTGACGTCTCCTCGCGTCCAGGGGTTATTGTGCCGGGTATAGTTACAACATCTATAGACGTCTGTGCTAATTGGACCAAACTGGAAAAACTGAGTCGAGTGTCAAAGTGTTAAGGTATGTTTTTCACGATCTTTTTTGTTATAGTGAAATCACTAGTCTCAATTAAAATTGTGTGAAATTACAAACCATCCTGTAAGCTTACAGATACAGAAGAAATGCTACATGGCTGCTGATATGAAGCTTGCAGTGGACAAGGTTGTTGTCAATGCTCAATGGCATGTCCAGGGATACAGTAATATCACATTAATAATACGGTAATTAATGAATATGGTGATATCATATCAATAAAAGAAAAACAAGTAAAAATTGCAGAAAATGTCATTTATTTTACATCTACATCATCTACAATGAAAGAGGAGGACTTCAGAGTACTGTTAGTAATGGATGAGTACACTCTGCATGCTTCAAACAATTTAACATTAACTTTTATTGCAAGTGTCCCAGATTACCCTGTTCCCAGGGGTAAATCGGGATGGTTTTATTTTGCATCTGGCACCTTACGAATAGCATATGGAATTTTTTGAAGATGCCATTCGATAACCCTCGCAAAGAGCTATAAAATGAGCCTAAACTTGTTTCTGAAATGTTTCATGGTAAGAAGTTATTTAACAAAAAACGCTCAAAACCATCCCTTTTTACCACGTTTGACGGTATTACCGTATCCATAAACATGCCATTGAGCATTTACAACAACCTTGTCCACTGCAAGCTTCATATCAGCAGCCATATAGCATTTCTTCTGTATCTGTAAGCTTGCAGGATGGCATGTAATTTCACACCATTTTAATTGGGTTAAGTGAATTCACTATAAAAAAAAAGAGATCATAAAAAACATACCTGAAACAGAAAGGAATGTTTTAGAAACAACCATCATATGTTTTGGAGAAATAAATCATAGTTTAGGTTAATTACTTTTCATTCTTTGTTGCCCGGTGCACAATTCTATACATGACATTCTGTGCACAATTTTGTGATGACCAATGATGCATTAATTTTTTGATAAGTGAAATTTTTTCACTGAGCAAGGTAAATGCAATCAAAATTCTTTGTTGTTAATCAATTTTTTGTTAACTGGAGCCTTTGCTAACTGAGGTTAAACTGTAAATGACTTTTTAGGAGTGTCCCTTATTAATCCAGAGGGGTGTCCCTTATTACCCCAGCGCGCAGAAATGGCTGCCATTTTTTTTAATGAGATAGGCAAATTCTGTCAACCGCATTTTTCAAGCTGACACCTATGTGCAACTTTTATGTAATTAAAATTTTTTAATAGGGCAAATATTTTTTTTTGCTCCAGACCTTGGTAAAGGTTCTTTTCCAAAATCGCACTTTTCAAACTTTTTTTCATTGAATTTTTAGAGATAGTAAAAATGTAAGGTTTCTTAACTAGCTTTACACTTAATAAATACCTAGTAAAAATGCTGAAGTTTACTCCACTATTTTTAGTTTTGCAATATTTTGATTACTTTAGCTGCTACAACATTACTACAAAATATGGGGCACGCTTCCGGATTTACCCCACCCATCCCTAATTACCCCGTTTGATGGTAGTCAACTCCTGGGAAGGGCAAAATTAAATTATAAAAGCAATAATGGGTATTTTAAAGTCAATGAAACCAGCAGTTCTTAAGGTATACACAGACTTAGTGTTTTCTATTGGCAGTCCTTTCAATTCTATTAAAATGGATGAATTCTAGGGCTCTATTATGAAGATTAAAATGTTTGTAGTGGATGGAGAGCTTTTACTTGATAAAAGTGTAAATATTGTAACAAATATAGTATAAATAAAAAATCTGTTTGTATTTATTTTTGTAGTCCATTCTTCAGGACTTGGTAACGAAATGCTTTAAGGCAAGCATTACCATAATCTTTGTTTTGAATCTTTTTACTGAAGGTTCAATTTGAATTTGAAAAGAAATTTTTTAGAAATTATATGTATTGTATGAATAAAGAAGTATCTTATTGATAATTCCACTATTATATTTATTTTATTCTAGATTTTTTTTTTCTAGAGGGTGAGAACCCAGATGTGACTTTAACAGTCCATATTATTATTTATTTGTATAGAATTTTCCAGGTCTGTATCATAAGCTCCTGAATAAACTGGTGCAGCATTGGCATGGCCAACTTAGTCAATGGAGAAAAAAGCATGAGCAGCAGCAGTAGCCCTGCAAGTGTGAAGAATAATGCCCCTCAGAAGGGTGGAAATAGCTTCCCATGTGAAGCATCAGTGTCAGATTGCAATGAGAGTGATTCAAGTTATTTAGATGTTTCCTTAGCTGATTCTATAAGTGTTTATTTGGGTAGTTCAGATGATGATATCACTGAGAAAGGAAGTGGAACTGGAACTAAGGAAAACTTGACATGTAGTTCTAAAATGATTTCAACTTCAAAAGAGACTACCCCTTCTAATGAGGACATTGATAATCATGTTGAAGTTGATAACACTGCTACTGGAAAGGGCAAAATAGAGGACATCAATAAGCATGCTGAAGTTGATAACAGTGCCACGGAAAGTGGCAAAGTAGAAGACATCGATACGCATGTTGAAGTTGATAACAGTGCCACTGAAAGGGGCAAAGTAGAGGACATTGATAATCATGTTGAAGTTGATAACACTGCTACTGGAAAGGGCAAAATAGAGGACATCAATAAGCATGCTGAAGTTGATAACAGTGCCACGGAAAGTGGCAAAGTAGAGGACATCGATAAGCATGTTGAAGTTCATAACAGTGCCACTGAAAGTGGCAAAATAGAGGACATCGATAAGCATGTTGAAGTTGATAACAGTGCCACTGAAAGTGGCAAAGTAGAGGACATCAATAAGTGTGTCGAAGTTGATAGCAGTGCCATGGAAAGTGGCAAAGAAGAGGACATCAATAAGCATGTTGAAGTTGATCGCAGTGCCACGGAAAGTGGCAAAGAAGAGGACATTGATAAGCATGTTGAAGTTGATAACAGTGCCACTGAAAGAGGCAAAGATATCAGAACTGAGGATGCCATTTCTGTTGATCATTGTGAGGTCCCTACACAGGTGCCAAGAACTGAAGCAAATTTAAAATTGAATGAACAGAATTCTCAGGAAAATTGTATGGATGTAGAAAAGTTCAATGAAACTGCAACCAATGCTCCCAAAATTTGTGCCAATCAAGATAATGAAATTACAACTGGTCTTCTTGGTAAGAAGAGAAAATTAGATGACAGTGACTCAGATGTTATTGAGATTGATGATGAACAATTGTCTAAAAAGGCTAAAACTACACATATTTCAAAGTCTTCTACTTATAAAAATGGAATGTTTACAAATCAAGTTGAAAATAACAATTTACATGCTTCTGACGATTCAATGATTATTGATGATCCAGAAGAATTACCAATTAATGCTCCAAAAAATGACAAGCTTGAAAAAAATGCCACAAACCCTGCTGTTGGTCAATTGCCCTCTCAGCAAATTTCAGCTCAAAACCAAAGTTCTAATAAAAAGTCTGCCGAAGATGTTGAGATTCTTGACAGTTATGTACCAGAAAATGTTAGCAGTGCGAAATTGAACTCGAGTAAGGAAATTAATGGAAGCAGCTCAACTGAAGTATCCAAGGAAATTCAGGAAGATGCATCCCCGGGTAAGAATTCCAACAAAAGGAAAGGCACTGAGGAAAACATTGAAGATGAAACAGATGAAGCCACACCTGAAAGTCCACAGAATTTAGCTGCTATTCTCACTCCATTAAAGCTGGATTGTACCACTGAAGAGCTGTCTGAGGTGCAGTCAAAGACTTACAGTCAGTTTCAGTCTGACTATTTGATGTTGCTGGGGATTCTTCAGAATATAGATACTGTAAAGGTTAGTGGCTTTAAATTTAAAATGCATAAAAATGAATTGAATTTGAAAAATATACTGCAAATTGTCTCATTTGAAGCAAAAGTGAAACTTTTGTGGTCCATCAAAGTTCTTGTTTGAATGCTATGGTATATGTTCTTTGAATTCAGACTGCTTACATATTTGCTCTATGAAATAATCTTATTCAACTTGGTAGAAACCTTTGTCTCTGTATTTTATGTTAGATTTGACTGCTTGAATTTAATTTGATGATGCTACTTAAAAATGTCATGTCAAATGATCAGAAAATGACTGCTTCCCACTTTTACAATTTCCAAATTATTTCCAGGTCATTGATTCTCATAGTAAGCCAAGTGGTCGTGGAGGTCGGGCTCGAGGTGGTCTGCATCGTGGCCAGGGTCAAAATCGAGGCCAAGACACTCAAGCCTCATCTGGGTCTACTAAAAAGTTTCCCGAATGGCAGTATCCTACTACAACTCGCAAATCCAGCAACAAGAAATCCTCTGCCTTGACCATTACCATTCCAACCTCACCTGAAATTCCAACCATTAATACAAGCAAGAGAACATCTAGAAAATCAGACTCACTGAGTCTTCCTCTTAAGGGGAGCAGCGCACCCTTAGCAAATGCACGTCGTGCTCGTGCTGATGACGTTGATGTGGCTGAAATTCCTACTCCAGCGGGTGCTAAACCTACGGTTTCAGCTACCAAAAGAAGGGAAGAGAGTCCTGAGATTGAGGTTGTGTCTGAGAAGAAGATCAGCACTCCAGGGCTAAATGTGGGTGTTGGATATGAACTAAGTAAAAATTTTATTCTTGTATTGAAGATGTTCTTAACCAGCATTGATGATTGCAGAGTATCATTACTGTTAAAGTTTATTATTATTTATCTCTCAGTATTAGCCAATTTTGGTCAATGAAAAAAATAAAAGAATGATTTTGAACTTTTACTGCTAATGTTATTTGTACATCAGACTATCATTTGCCTTAAAGCTACTAACACGTCTGTATGTGTGCAGGTAAAAACGCCCACCGTTCAGAAAGTTGCACCCGCCTTTGTTCCTGCATCTCATGCTGCATTGCTCAACATTTTAGCTCGCCCTATCAACATGCATCCAGTATCCATTGCTGTGAAGGACCGAAAAGAACTTGGTTTGTAAATGATTGCACTAACTTGATTATAATTCTTCTGTTTTATATGTTTCCTTTGCTGATTCTTAAAAAATGAATAAATTTTATACATTTTAAATAAATACCAAAAATAAAAATTGAATTATCTTCAATAATTCAATTTTTATCTCACTGATCCTAAGTTTATTATCATTTGTGTTAGTGTTGAATTAGGTTCTGCTGAGATTAAACACTTCTCCATGCTGATTTTTTGACATGTAATGATATTAATAAAGAACCTACCAACTAAAATTAATTTGATGAATAATTTTTATCATGAAATAATATTTAAAATTTTCTTTGATAATCTTTTGTGTTGAAATCTTCGTCCCTGATGAGCATAGAAGATTTGCTAAGAAGCTAGGAGAATAACACAATGTTGGTTATGGTAATCAATATGACTTATTTTATCATGAAGCATCAGTTATCACAGCATTTATAAACAAGAAGAGTAAATAACATCACATAAAGCTATTAATTTGCTCTAAATTTTGTTCTATTTCATACACTTTTGTCTTTATTAGCAAAGAATGGGAAAGCCAAATATTAAGAAAAAGTTGCTGATGAAACTACAGCGATGTAATGATTCTAAGCATCTTAACTGTATTTGTAATGATACAATGATTTTGTTTCCTAATGAATAATGTAATGTTCATAGTAATGATTTTGTTTCCTGGTTTGCTTGCAGATGGGATGGTGAAGGCAGCTCTGGTGAAGAGTCAACAGGGTTTCGTAGAGTGGCTGTTTGGACTGCAGCTCCTTAAAGACAGGATGATGTGTCACAAACATCCTGATAAACCAGTCAAAGTGAGAGTCTTTATAATATTCTTGACTCATTAAATTCTTAAATATTATTCTCATCTTTAGTAATAATGAACCATTGTTATTTCAACGAGCACAAAATTCAATCACTTATTGTATATCCTGTTAATACTTGAAAATTTAATTCTAATACCTATGTTGCTAAATTCATTCCAAATAATTTTTTAGTTACAATTTTCGTCTATATTTCTATGTTAGGAATATCCAGTCTCATCTACAAAGACTCTAAGATCACTTTGTTACAGCTGGGACTGTTCCAAATGCCATCAATACTGCCATCATCTGGAGGATACGTTTGGTTAAGTGACTGCTGCTCTCACGGCACAAAGTTTGTTTCAATTTACTCCGGCTCCATATTTGCTATTGGTCTTAAAGAAGGCATCTCAGCGACGTCTGTTTTGAAGCTTATCTATCATTGGAGTTGTCAGACCACCGTGACCAATGTTGAAAACTGGGTCAAGGTTTGTCTCATAGGTTAAGGTTTGTCAGATAGTGTTTACAGAATGTTTGTACAAGTTATGGTTGGTTGAGTTATGTTCAAACAATGTTTGTGAGTGTTAAGGTTGGTCAAATAGTGTTCAAACACAAGTGTTTGGAATGTTACAAGTGTCATTGGTCAAGTTTACCAAGTTTGGTAGAAAGAATTTGGATGGAAGAAGAAGGTATTCAAAATAACTATTGTATTTTTCATAGCATGAGCATTTACTAGAAATTATTGATCACATTCTCATTTGTTTTATTAGTTTCCTTGCAGCTTTCTTGGATAGCCCATGATACATAAGAAATCATATAAATTAACTCCTACAGGAACCCCCTTGACTTGAAACCTTTGTTGCAGGTATCGCGCGAAGTGATAGGCAGGTGCTACCACTACCTGCGGTGCGTGTGCTCCGTCATCCTGCAAGACAAGCTGCACAGCATGGGATGCCATGGATCTGCCGTTGAATTGGGCGTCGTGTCTCTGGGAACAACCACTCCTGACGGCGCTAAGAAGAGCGTTAAGGTCTTCACTTGTTATGATTTAAAGTTGCTCTTCTAACCTGAATATTACCAGTACTTCCATTATCGTTAATAGCTTAATGTCACTCTTCTGCCTTAAGTATTACCAGTGATTCCATTTTCTGTAATAGCTCTTCTCCGTTCCTCTATCTTAAATATTACCATTACATCAACTGTCATTGATAGTAGCTTTACGCTGCTCTCACACCTTAAATACTACAAGTACTTACATTGTCCCTAATAATCCTGTCACCGTTTTAATCAAATTGTGATATATAAGATACAATAATATTGGAATGTCGGGGGTTTGTTATACCCTTACTATTTACCTCTGTTACATTGCCGGTGCTCTGTTCAGGTGGAAATCCTGGGTCTATATGACCGGCAATCGAAGGCGTTCAGGCTGTATGCGTCGGAGCCTCAGAGCAACGTGAACTCGGCGCAGCGCTTCTTGCACATCCTCAAGCCTGTGCTCTCTACGGTGCATCATAACGCCGTTATAGTGTGCGATGGCAGCATCGATAAGACCAGCCTGCCTGCCATGAACTATAAAAAAGTAACTACATCTTTCTGCATTTGTGTGAACAGTTATTTTAGACAGTTATTTATTTCTATCAACAATATTGACGAATTCCAGAAAGTTTCATATTGTCAACTGTCGAGAATTAAGTCACGATTTCGATATTGCTGGAACATTAAAATGAACAATGAATCTCTTGATTGATGTAAAATATAGAATGTGGTTAATTTTATTCAAGAGCAGCGAAATATATTCTCCAACCACGTTGTTATAGCGAAATGTTGTTATAGTCACCGTTTTTCTTAGGTTCAATTTGTTTTATTAAAAGTTTACCCATTTTGCTGTGGATATTGGTTGCTCCTAATGCATCAAGTTAGGAGAACTTGGTTAACATATTTTGTTCATGGATATACCAGATAATTCGAGTTTTATTTTTAAATAAATAGGTACCAAAAATGACTAATTGTTGCTCTGCAAATATTCGGGCACAATCAGATCAATATGAAGGTCCATTTTTGTATTAAAGAAATATTTGTTTAACGGCTGAGAGGTTGTTTCTCTCTTTTTGCAGCTTGTAGTTTGTCAACATAATCATGACGGCACTCGGGAAGACTCCAACTCTACCATCATGTCTTACCTCAGGAAGCACGTACCTAAGATGTTTCAGGTGAGCTCCATGTACACGTAATGGCTTAATATTAATAGGTTGGCAAAATTTGTTCCTGTAAGCATTTTTCGTTGAAGACCAGAGAATATGTTTTATTGGCAATTTTATTATTATGTTTTTTCAATAGATCGAACAATATTTTTCGTTTGCACTGGTAAATCGAAAATCAGCATGCCAATGGACATTTTTATTTATTTTTATTTTTTTTAATAACGTTTCAAATGTATCAATCATTCATTATCAAGTTAGAAGGCGCATTGAGTGATGAAATCTCATACAAAATCTGAAGTACAAAATCATGTAAATAGGATACTATTCAAAAATCAAAAATGATAGAAATAATTACCAAATCACAAAAATATTGAGATAATCAAGAATTAGAGCACCAAAAATTACTCCGAAAACCGTCTCAAGGTTCTGACAACTTCAGTAGTTTGTAGGTTGATGGCTGGGGTCCTATCCTTAATGATGATGGCCTCAGCCATCGCGAGTCGGTTGGCGTCGTGACATCGTTGTTGTCGACGAAAATTTCATCACTCAATGCGCCTTCTAACTTGATAATGAATGATTGATACATTCAAAACGTTAAAGAAATAAAAAAGTCCATCGGTACTCTGATTTTCGATTTACCAGTGCCAACGAAAAATGTTGTTCGATCTATTGAAAAAACTAACTAGAAAATTATCAATAAAACGAATTATCTGGTCTTCAATGAAACCTGCTTAAAGTAATGGCTTAAGTGCACGTGACGGCCTAAAAACATGTCGCTCCCTATTTCTTGAAAAACTTTAAGTAATTTGCTGACAAAGTTACAAACTCATTACTAGGTATTTTTGATAATACGTACAGTCCCTGATCTTTTATTCACGAGGCAAGCAAGATTTCACGATTTTTTTATTGAATGACAAGAATAATTGCTATATGTACATCATTTAGGTTGAAAGTTTGCATTCATGGAGAAGTTAAGAAGTTATTTATGTTGAAGACTCTAGTGTATATTAATGTCACGTGTGACTTTGAAATACGTAGTTCTCCACTTCAGCTTCTCTGTAATTGAGAAAAGTTGTAATTGTTGTAATTGAGAAAAGTTTTTAACTGTTCAAATTTAAAAGTTTTTTCGGAATCTAGAAAGTAATTCAGGAAGACATCAATCAGAAAATAAGTTACATATAGAAGTACTTTACTGGTAAAGTTTTTTTCAGAACTCGTTGTCAACACTAACCCTGGAGCAAGTGCAGTTAGTGCTGGACGAGTTATGCTGGAGGGAAACGTTCGGACGGTCGCCATCACATTCCTACATCAACATGATGCAGCAGCTCGCCTACCTCACATACAGGGAGACCGAGAGTTAGTCTTTTGTTTTTGTTCTTGTGATTGCCCATTGAGGTAATTGTTACTAGGGAGGAGTGGGGGTAGGTCAGTTGTTCAGGGGCCATACTTTCAAAACTCGCTAAGTGAACGTAAGTACTTACGCTCTATTTTCTTGTCTATGATTGGTGGATTTTGCTTGAAAGGCCGCCAATGATTGGCTGATGAACTTACGATCTCTTAACTTTTTTTGAAAGTATAGGGCCAGGGCAATAGATCCAAAGGTCATACAACCATCACTGGCTCGCTGACCTGCCAGAACCAGTTTATTGCATTCCATTACACACTGCATAAGCCAGGTACTCATTTATCAACCAGAATTGGATTAATGGCTGAGTTGGAATGCGAATCACTGTGCTACATTGTACATGTTATTGCTTTCGATGTACAAGTTTAAGTTGGTGTCATCTCTTTTAACATTCATGTGTATGTTTATAAGCCAAGCCTGTAATTTCCACATTCAAGTATTGATTCGGCGAGTCGAAGCTTCTACTGTCACATTTTTTTCTGTACCCAGCTTATATTCAATCATTGAAATTAATTGATTTAATTTTAATTTCTATTTCCGTTTTCATATACGTGTGTGCAGATAGCTTAATACAGACATATCATTTACAGACAATGGTCTGCTGTGTCTACTCGACTTCCTAGCACACACTCACTCCAAGTGCTGGCGCTACGTAGCAGACAGCGCCGCGCCTCCCATCACACTGCCCCCCAGCCCCAATCCCAGCCTTCCGTCCAAAAACTTGTACCCGCTGCCTGCAGTGATACCCATCAACCGCTCCTCTGCGCCTGCTGTGCACCCTGCTTTTGATGTGGACGTCAACGACATCAATAAGAACCTCGTGGGAGTCCCGCAAACTATTGATGTGCACCCCAACAATGTGAGGCATCTGTTACTTAGTGGCCGAAAAATAATTTTTATCTAAAATGTTTTGAATAGATAACTTGTTGATTCATGTTTAGGCGTTACATATTACCGATAGAGTTAAGATTGCTTTGAGCCTCTTGATGACTTCAAGAGGCTAGAACAGATATTCCGAAGTTGTCAAATAGGTGCCGTGCCATTAATACTAGTTAGCTATTAATAAGTAAATAAATGACTTACGAGGGCTGTTGATGTATTAGGCACTAATCAAGAAAGGTATACTATGATGTATAATTATTCATATTTAATTTTTATAAATATGTAATTAATTAAATTGAAAAAATTATTTGTAGGACAGAAAGTTGAATTGCTGCACGCTGTATGATGAATGATGTGAATTGATAGCGCTTGATGTACCTACTCCTAACAACCAAGTGAATTTCCTTCAAACTAGAACTATTTCTGTATTTATGCGAACTGTACATGCTTGTATGATGGTCAGATTAAAACGTATTCACGTGAGCAGGTGATAAGTCCAGTGACGCACGAGAACAAAGTTGTGCTCACCATCGTTAACAACGAAATCCGCTCCATGCGCAACACGAGCAAGAGACCCAAGCCCATACGTCTGGAGCCTGCCAGCAAGACTCCAACCGAGTAAGTCTTTACGTATGCCATGAAGATTATCTGTTCTCAATTGCTATTTACGTTTATTAAGCTGTGAGTTTCTGCCAGACAAACATACCGAACCTTCATGTTGACATGCCAGGCCCTCATGTTGACATGCCAGATTCTCATGTTGACATTCCAGGCCCTCATGTTGACATGCCAGACCCTCATGTTGCCATGACTCACCCTCATGTTGCCATGTTAGGCCCTTTTTGTGCTGACATGCCTGTCTGTTCATTACTGTAAGCATGTTTTAACATATTTTCGTATCAGATACATAATGAATATATCAGCAGTTCACTGGTTAATTTCATTGTTACTTGGCTGTTATTTCGAATCATCAATTGATTCATAGTAAAACATTTGACAATGTTGTATGCTCGTTTTTTTTTAAGCAATTTAAGTTTAGATTTTCAATAGCAATTTTGTTCACTGACAGGTCTCCCAAAAATAGCACCAAAGCAACTATTAAAGACACTCCAACGACCACATCGATAGTTGCTGCAGCTTCCATCAAGTCGCCTGCCCCTAGCATTTCTACAGTGGCGTCTGGTGAACCATCTCTTGTTACTCTAGATGACACTACGACTACAAGCGAAGTAGTTTCTAATAATCTCTCAAGCTCATTGAATTTGCCCCCTGGTCCAAACAAGCCTTCTACACCAAGCGGTTTTGTTAGCAAACCCATTTCATTTCATCTAGTTAATAACCCAGTTTCCAGCCAAAAACCCATTCTTCCTGATCCTGCTCCTGTTGTTACTGAAGCTGCTTCCGTGACTGGGGCGGTCTCTATTAACAACCTTGGCACTCCACTTTCCAATAGCGCTATTCGCCCACCTCCCGCCAGCAATATTCTCCAGCGTTCTGCTGCTGTTCCAAGTAACCATATCACTGCTGTTAGCAATCCAGCTTCTCCAATTCCCACTCCTTCACCGGTGTCTTCTGCTTCCGTTCAATCCTGCCCATCCCCCGCTTTATCGTCTTCTTCATCTGTTGTCGAGTGTATCACCGAGCTGCAGCCCGGAAAAACAGGGAAGGATCTTGTGTCTTATTACTACGGGGAAGTTCCTGGCGACAGCTCCGTGGCCAGAGAAGACAACCTCTGCAAGATCGAGTGCCATGTGTGTCAGGTGAGTTTATGTGTTGTATTCTCGTACCCCTATATTTGAATGACAATAACCTCATTAAATATGTTGCACTAAAATAAAGGATATTCAACCCAAATTAGGAACTCGTGTGAGCAGGTGTGCAGTGGACGTTATATTGAGAGATATGTTGCTGAAATAGAGAATGAATTTTTTTCAAACAAGAAAGTATCATATTTTCCTGCATTTTAACTCTGATTATGTGTCATACTGGAATTATGTATTGTTTAAATTATTTTTGATACAATTTCACAATTTCGTGAGTTATTTGATCTTATTTGATGAATTTTAGATATACCGGTATCGATTAGTTATTTTATCTTAGAAGTTAGGGAAAATATGATAAGTTCTGCTTGAGAAAACATTCATTCTCAATTTCTGCAAAATAATTCACAGTATATGGTCCATTGCTGGCCTGTGGAACAAGTTATTTTAACAGGCGTTTGATTCTTTTGCATCATTTTGTAGAAATCTCTTTATATTAATTTGGGTATAAAATATTCACTTGTTGTTCGTCCCATTGTGCTAGAATTTCTAATTACAATGAAAACATTTGTATTTGCAGGCCTCTTACATTGACAACGTGGAGTTTTACGAGCACCTCAAGAGCCACTTGTTCGAGAAGGGGCTCCTGGGCCGCGTGATCTGCCCGTACTGCATCCTCAGCTACTCTGATGACGCAGCCGTCGCCATTCACGTCGAGCGGGTGTGTTCACACTCCCACTGCAATACATTATAAACATTCACGTTTAAACATAACATTCACGTATAAACATTCACGTTCATAAACATTTACGTCACGAAGGCACACATTATAAACATTCACGTCGAGCGGGTGTGTTCACACTCCCACTGCAATACATTTAGTGCAATCCTCGCTGGAAATGTGATGATTTCTGCCTAATTTTCATCAATCTGTTCTCAGATTGTCAAATATCATTTGTAAAATCGCATCACGGTCTCCTAAGATTGACTGTCCTCATAATGGTTTCTGCTTCTTCTTCGTGAGTCTGTTTTCAGATTCACGACAATATATATTATATACATTTGTCAAATAACAATTGTATATATTCAAATGTGATAGTTTTTGCTTTATTTTCGTGAATTTTTATGATTGTTAAATAAAAATTGTATATATGCCTTTCGGTCGTCTAAGATCTCTTGTTCATCATGCCGCGAAAACCAATCAGCAGCTGTCTTGGTGTCTTATTTTACTCTGGTGGAGTTCTAATATTCATAGTTCCATCGTTCTCAATTCGTTCCTAAGAAATAATTACGAAATCATTATTTTTTAATTCTATCATTCTATAATTCTAGGCTTCTAGCCTGTATATCTCAACTGTGAGCAAATAAATACAAGCTGTCGGAATTTTATTTAGTTTTTGGGTTTTCCTTTTTGTTGTTTTATCTTCAAACATTTTTTATATAACTCCTGTTAAATAGGAAATGTCCATTTGAAATTGAATTCTTCAGTTCAACTTCCGCTAACCTAATTTTATTCTACCATAGGTTCACAACCCTGAGAGGATGAATGACCTGCTGTGCCGTATCTGCATGATGTCCTTCGAGACGGAGGAGTATCTGATACGCCACATGGCCGACAAGCATGTCGAGGCAGAACTACCCTACCGCTGCGAGGTCTGCAACTACGCCACCTCTTACTACACCAAAGCCATCGACCACTTCCGCACGGTCAGCTCTATAATGAAAGTTGATGTTTGATTTAATCCATTTATAAAACAACTCGCGTGTGTTAGGAATTGAATGGTGGGAAATATGTGTGTTTTCCTTGGTAGATATCACACTTGGAGATGTGTGTGTTACACTCAAAGCAAACCCAATCGTTCATTTAATTTACTATTATATTAAAACCGACAAGTAACCACTCTAAGTTTTACTATTCTCTTTTATTGTTGCACGAGAAGCTTTTATTGTTGTACGACAAGTTTTACAATTCTCTTTTATTGTTGCACGATAGTCGTAAATTTTGCCTCGTAATTACCATTTTAATGACCAGCAAACTGCACATTACCGTGCAGGAGCACCGCGGCGCCCCTTACGTGCAGTGTCACTTCTGTCTTCTGGTGCGCGTTGTGTCGCCGGGAGACGTTGCCTCGCTCTCTTCGTGGTTCTTATCGCATCTCCTTGTAAGTACAATATAATGCTAGGTTTAAATTATATATACCTATCAATGTTATTAAATAAAACCTTGACTTCACTCAGTCATGCTGATGTTCCGCTCACGATGCCCATCAAGAAGGGTTCCGTTTTTGCCGATTTAGCTAAAAATTTTTGACTCGTCTTCTTAAAGGGTTTAGCTAAAAGCATTTTTTTATATTTCATCGATTATATCACGTGTCTAATTATGATCACACATGCAGGAACACGCTCGGGGCCTGCGCTGCACCTACTGTGTACTCACCCTGAAGAATAAGAGTCGGAAGGTCATGCAGGCTCACATGGTCACCCACGCGTCCTACAAGCGCCGGAAAGGTGGCCAGCATCACACGCATCTCAATAGTCGCTCGAAAATCAATTTTTGTTTCGTTGAATCACTCGCCCATTACGCATAGCGATAATTATATTAATAATTATCATTAGCAATTAGTGTGCGGGTTATGCCTTGATCATTTGAAGCAGAGAAGATCCGTGAGATATTACTTAATTAAAAATAGAATTGTTTGTTCCAGAAACAGATAGTCTTCCAAAAAATTTTTTTTACTGTCTGAAACCTCAATTTTTTCTTTGCCCACTCCCGACACAAAAAAAATCATATTTTTCCATCTAAAATATGAAACACTCTCTGTTGTATCATTATATCCTTTCTTCGAATGTTTTCAATTTCTGACAATCGTCGCTCTTATTTTCATTTCATCATCTCCTCCATATTTTGCAAATATTTTATCTGCGATTCGTGATTATTCATTTTGGCAATGGTTTTCGATTCTTAGTCTGCTCATTCATGCTTATTTCTGACCTCCTTATTATGCAGATCTGGTGCGCTATTCTTCATCAACATGCAAGTTAGTGATACCAAACTTGGCGGCGCTGTCGTCCTCGCGCAAGAACGACGCCAACTTATCCAATCCCATCACGAATATGAGGCCCGCCGTCGCCATGAGCAGACTGCTGGACCACAACAAAAGCCTCTCATTGAATGCCTGCAACAATAATTTGTGCTCCGAGTGCAAAAGACCTCTGAGCACACCTGGCCATTACAAGTGAGGAAAGCAACTGGAAAAAGTGGAAATCATGAATTGCTAAAAATATCCGTTGCAATTTGAAATTTTGAATGTTTTGCACAGTTCAAAGTATTCGGTTGGCCATTGATTTCGTCTTTAAGTGAATCATTTCGCATTTAGCTGTAACCTGACATCACAGTGCTGGTTTTAACTTTCACTCTCCTGCCGTGCAGTTCGTACCAGTCGTGCACGCAGTGTCCGTACGCGACTTCGTGCAGCGCTATGATGCCTCGCCACTATCACGTGTTCCATCCCGCGCTCGGACAAGATCGTACCTACAAGATGGGTCCGCCCATCATCCTGCCGCAACCGCTGGTCTGTTGCTGTGGATTCTCATCCAATTCTGGCCACCGGTTGGGTGAGTCTTAGCCTGAATATAGCAGTTGATTCGTTGCCAGTAATAAATAGCCTGAAATGTATCTTGTTTTCATTTTCTCTATTCGAATAAGAGCATTATTATCTAGACAAATTTTCTTGCGCAGCGAAAATGCACAGCAGACTTTTTCACATTCTAGTTGAAAACTTCTGTAACTTCGATAGTAAGGTCATGAAGATTTACAATTGTATCAGCAGTGATTAATCAAGATTTGTTTTATCAGCGACTCATTTGGCGCTGTGCGTGACGGGCAACAAGACCGCCTATCCAGAGGACGTGGATGACTCGCTTCAAACGGATAACGCGCTACAGCAACGTTCAAAGCTGAAGTTAAACCTCGCCATGTTTGTTAGCTCACAAACCGGTGGCGGCTTGAAAATAGCTGAGGAGAACATGAGCTAAGGGTAAGTAAACGATTGCATTTAATGTCAGTGAAGCCCTAGTTAAACCCCAGTCATAATAATTCGGGGTGTTCTAGTGCCGAGTTCTCACGCGTAGGTTTTCAATGAGGTCATGTAGGCGTTAGTTAACACGTTTTTCTTAGCTTAGCTTCGCGTTTGTTTGTTTGTTGTTAAAATTGACAACAAAAATTAGCCCACTTCTGATTGTTCTAGAGATCTGAAATTCGGCATGCAGGCTATTTTCGCCTAACAATTTCAGATACAATCATAAAAACTAGTAATTAGAGACTTACGTTCACCATCAAATTTCCAAAATTTAAGTGTTGTGTGCTTTTCGCTTTAATCATAAATCTGCCCGACACACGTTTTTTTGGGGCGAACCGTAATTTATTTTCTACTTTTTAGTCCACAAGAAAAACGTGGTTTTTTAAAAAGTTTTTTAAGTATTTTATTTTAGTATTGGTTTGTAAGAAATCTTAACGAGTTAGTTCTAGGATTGGTTTTTAAGAAATCTTGACGAGTTAGTTTTAGGATTGGTTTTTAAGAAGCCTTAACCTAGTGAGCGACTTTAAAAGTAACTATAGTAGATTAAGTGCTGGACGAGATTTGCTAATTTGGATGATCTGATAATACGGAGTCAAGTTCTTGACCACTTGGATGTTCTTGAAGCATGTGATTTTGCTTTCGTATTTTGAGAATAAAGGAATAAGAAGTCAGGGTGATTATAGATTATTTTTTGATTACTGTTTGTTATTAGGAACCGAACTCAGTAGTAGGTAACCGTGTCTGGTAACTTCAATGCTTTGGAACTGATTCGTTATTTTTGCGAATATTTCCCCAATTTTGAAATTGATTTGTTGGATGTCTTTTCTTTCCAGGGCGCCGCAATTCATCGGCTACTTGGTCATGGCCAGTGCCATCTTCGTGGTTTTTGTCGCCACATTTTCCTCTTCTGACGAAGACATTCAAGTCTCGGCATCTCACTAGGTGTACTCTATGCAATGAATTTACTTCTATCAGTTCTCAAGATAAATCTCAAGCTCTAGTTGAACGTGTTAGGACTGAAAGTATTACTTTGTTTTTGTTTATCATCATATTTGAGACGGAAAAGATTTTTACGGATAAGTTCTCTAAGGCTAATAATATAATTAATTAAAATTTTAAAATCATCCATAACGGAAATGTTGAATTTGATTATTGATGTGGCAGTTTCAGTGACACAACCTTCAACTTATTTTTTTGTGCGTCTTGCGATGCAGTTTTCTAAAATAATATAAAAGGAAATTAGTAATATGTGAAGTGATTCATAGTGGAACAGAATCGCTACTTGTGTACGTTTTCTTTCGACATGAACTGTGTCGAACTCCTGAACTGCATTGATAAAGCGTAACCCGGGCACACGGCGCACAACAGCTAATCTATGATAATCCTCGTGCAGATTTGAATGCATCCATTTAGTGTTGAGCACCGCTGTTCTATTTAGCTAGATCGTATGGTGGAGTCAAAGGGACTTGAAATTCTTACCACGCTCCGGAAAATACTTATGAGATTGTTATGAGAGTAACAGCATTTGCCTTCTCTGTTCCTGTGAATTTGGTGATGAGAATTGTAATTGACGTCATTTTACTTATGAAATTTTCTTTTTGAATTGTCTGATACATACCCCTTAACGGCGGAAAATCTGCACTGAAAAATTATTATAGTTTCTTACAATGTTTGCAGCGAGTTACTTAGGTTACGGATTTTTCCCCCCTCATTCCGTCTGAAGAGGAGGCGTGTTTGAACGGAGTAATGGGAAAGTTATATTATTTAGGTGTATCTGATGACGGAACGGGGTGATGATGTACTGTTCAGTTACTCGTCTCATCATTTCCAGTTTTGTATGAAAAATGTGATGTAAATAAGTAAGGGAATTTTCCTATTCCTGTCTCTCGTGTAGATGTGTGTGGTGATAGTACAATGAGCTTTGTGCAGTCACGTTCTAAGAACAACTTGTAGGATAAAAAGATGAAGTTCTGTTCATAAGTTCATTAATTTTACGCTGCTCTCTCTTCTAATAGTACAGGTTCTGGAAATATTTCCTTAGGTATAAATTTACTTTTTGACTCACGGATAAGCTAGGATGGTCTTATTGTTCGATTATATCCTCGTGCATCTAAAAGAAACCATCACAGTATGTAAATAAAACATTTTGGCTCCCGGCATCTTGATTATCTTTACATATACCTATCCCTTGTATAAAATATTGAGACTAGGACTCAGAGGGGGAGTAGCTTGACCGTTGTAGGGAAACATTCAAATATTTAGTATCTTTCCTCAAGGTTGACGAATGCTTTCCATACCGACCATACGTAAAATTCTCCATACTCTTTTTAGCGCATTTTCTCATTTATGAAAAAATGCACTATTATGCTCGCCATGTCCGTCTGTCTGTCCGACCTTGACTTCATGTTTTTGTCGATGAGAAAATGCGCTCTGTCACTCACTGCAGTGAGTACCGAGTTATTTTTTAATATTTTGGGTGGTTATGAGTACAAAACTACATGTCCCTTTAAATGAAGTGTATAGATATAAACTATTTCGTGTCTGAAGTGCTCCTCTACCTTTGTCCACACATTTGTGGCGATCATTTCTTGGTTTTGATGCCCGCGGTGATGAGGTGAAGTTTTCTTCTGGACTTTCTGAAGGCTGCAAGCGCTCGCTTGGTGGCCTCGCTGCGTCCCGGCAGTTGAGACACCAACGCCCCTGCATTCACACAAGGCATGATAAGAATGTTACCACATCATCATGGAGTAAAATAAGTCAAAATGTATACAATCCTCCACAACTAAGGAATATTTTACTGTTCGTTATACTAAAATCGTCGTTATACAGTGTTTCCCCCCAAAAAAGATATTCAACTTTGAATGGCTGTAACTCGTAAAGTATTAGAGTTAAAAAATTTTGGAAGGTCAGAATTTGTTAGCTATGTTTTTCTCCATATCTCCACCAAAAATCAGATAGATCGATGTAGCTATAAGCGTTTGATAGAACATTCAGTGGCATGTGCTAAAATCGTGCTTGCGCAAACTTTGTCACTTCTCTTAAACTTTGAAGCTTAGGATATTAAATGTAAGTTTTAATCAACTTTTACTCATTTATTGAAGAAAACTGTTCTGAAAATGATAATAACAGAAAAATAATAACAGACGTTCCATTCCTTTAGTGCCCTTCAAATAAAAACAGACGTTCCTTTCCTTTAGTGCCCTTCAATGTGTCCTCGGTTTGTATCAACACACAACTGCATACGACGTCTCATTCCCGCCATCACTCGTCTGATTAACAAGAGCACCATCTTCTCGAAGAAAATTGGCCTCAATTTCAATTCTTTGTCTGAATTCGTCGGCGTCGCGCGGTAAAGTGCTGTAAACTTTGTTCTTTAAATGTCCCCTGAGGAAAAAAATCACAAGGTTTTAAATCAGGTGATCTAGGGGGCCGGCCATTCAACTTGATGACCCAAGGCGATAATGCGATTAGCGAATACTTAATTAAGTTTATTTCTTACAGCACCACTTCGATGCGAAGGAGCACCATCTTGAATCCACCAAGATCGATTGTTTCTTTCTGCACGAGTTTCTTGAAGCCTTGGAATAATCATGTCATTTAATAAATCGCGGTACCCAGCACCGTTCAAGTTATTGTTGTAAAAATACGATCCAATGATGCTTCCGTTGCCACAAAGTCCCATCCACACGGACAGTTTCTCTCTTGAAATTCCTACTTCGAAGTTGAAACTTGGAGGTTGGTTCTTCGGTGCATACTGTTGTATGTTGTGATTATTTACTCTGCCATTCAAATGGAACGCAGCCTCATCGCCAACCACAATATCGTCCACAAATCGATTATGCTTTTGTAAAAACCCTCTTGCGAAATTTAAACGTCGAGGAAGATCAGTATCTAGGAGCTTGTTACGAACATGCATCTTTTAAGACTAACATGCATCTTCTAACAATTCACCCCGTCAGCTCCCTGGGGTGGATCACGGGTGAAAAGCTCCCTGGGGTGAATGAATAATGTATTCAAGATGTATCAAGGATACAAAATATAAAACAGCGAAAAGAAAACATGTCAAGACAACGTAATGATTATGCAAAATGATCTTACTAAAACTTTGCGCAAGCACGATTTTAGCACACGTCACTGAAAGTTCTATCAAACGCTTATGGCTACATCGATCTGTCGGATTTTTGGTGGAGAGATGGAGAAAAACATAGGAAACAAATCGTGACCTTCCAAATTCTTTTAACTCTATTACTTTTCGAGTTACAGCCATTCAGAGTTGAATATCGTTTTTTTTTTTGGGACACCTGGTATAAATCCTCGACTGCTATATTTTCCGAAAATTGAGGTAAACGCAGCACTGTTGTGACTGCAAGCGTTGGTTTCATGAACAATCAAGAGCTATTGATGCTCACACATTTAAATTAGTATCCCGTTACCTGGGTGTGGCAGGTCGAGGCTAGAGCGCAGCAACGTCTGCAGTCTGTACTCCAGCGTGCCCGTCGTGTTGGTCACTAGACCGAAGCGGCTCACGCGTGATATCTGGCGGTATACATGAAAAATTGAACGTTTAAGAGGATATAATCTCCCTATAAGAACAACAGCTTCGTTTGTGGAATTATGCACGATACTGTTGATTACGATTTGTCGGACCACCTAGGAAAAATAATGTTAATATCCAGCTGGCCAGATAACGCCATGACTTGTGAAGGCTGAAAGGGTATTGAGCGTTTCGGTTCTTGAAGATACCTAAATAAGCTGCTGGTCAGAACAATCGGAATATTTTGCAATTGTATTGCATATTATTCTATTCACTTTGTTGTTATATACTTTCCTATGTTATGCATTAGAAAATGAACTTCGCTCTCGCTAATTGGCGAGAGCGAATTGTCCTCAATAAATTCAATTAACACAGAATTTGGGGCGTGACTGCGCTCTATCTTCTTCCTTGACTCGGTCAATTCTACGACGAGGTGTAGATTGTTCACGGCTCGTGTGTTCATGATCTGCAGGTGCAGTCAATTCGTGACTAAGGGACGGCGTCGGTCCGTATGGTGCGGTACACCATAATGCCTCGTTAACAGGACGAGAAAGATTACGTAATTTAGTCCAAATAAGTGGGCACATCCAATCAACTACTCGTATAATAAAATTTATGTTCATGCATATTAGCGTTAATTATGATAACATTTATGTCATGATGAACACACCTCATGACGCGCCGTGTAGGGGGCCAGGTAGGAGGCGGAGGGCAGCAGACGACAGCCTGTCAGGAAGGTCCTTTGCAGGGCTGACGAAGGGGTTACGGGAGCTGGAGACCACATGGGGACATGACTCACTTCGCCCCGGCTTGCTGTTGAATTAATATATTACGAGGTATGAATAAAATCGTACAGGAAGTAGATTTTAATATTGTGGTCTGTGCAGCCACCTGTCACATTAGTGATTTTACATTACTTGAATAAGGAACAGTTCAAGGAAAAACAATCAACTTTATAGTTACCTAATTTAATAGTTATGACAATAGCTGTTTGGTCTTGTTAGTTATTCAAACCGAGCACAAGGAGAGAGAAAATCTGAACACGTGGGAGGAAACCGCGTAATAGAATAGAAGTGTCGGCATTCAAGAAATTGGCCCATGGCCTGTTGCCGTTTCTAAAATGCAAAAAAGTGATTAGGGCGACGTCATTGAAAAATATTAATGCATAATAAGGGCGTCATGTCGTATTTCAATAGTCGGAACGTTGTTTTATTACTAACCAATGTTTGTGAAAACTGTTTCAAACAAGCTGTTGGTGTCTTGGCAAGCAAGTCTAGCCAAGACCAACTGGCAAGTCTTGGTAAAGACTTGCGAAGAAAAAAACGAACAAGGTTACACAATTATTTAAACAAAACGTAAAGCTAACGAGTCGCACAGAATTTCGCGCCTCGGTACCCAAACAGCGACGTGCAGATTGAAGATATTGCTCGGAAAAAAATTCAGCGGCTTGCAGGAGAATTCGGTGAGCAAGACTGCCGTCTCACCTGGCGGTGCGAGGTCGATGGTCGCCCAGCCAACGTCCATCTCGCCGCCGTCGCCGTCCACCGCGAAGGCGCCCACCAATAAAACGGGCCACCCGTTCCCTGAGTACAAATCAAATAGAAAACACAAGCCTAGAAACCATTTTTAGTAATGCATATCAAAGATTTGTACCATTAATTCAGCATGTGGCTGTTTTCTGGCGCGTTCCTTTTCCCTTCAGACAACCAAAGGCGAAGGTAAATTCCAAATAATGTTTCCCATAACGAAGGTAAATTCCCCACACGAGAGAAAAAGAGAGAGAGAGAGGAATGAATTTATCTCTTTTTTGAGATATTAAAAAAAAAAACTTTGATAAATCTTTTAGTTCTTACGTTGTCTCACACTCCCAATTCTATAATTGGCGAACCCTAGCTCCAAAATATTTAATCAGTCATTTTCAGATAGATAAGTCAGTTCAGTGGTAATTTTAACACGACACACACCTGTAGAGTGTGTAAAAAAGCGTAGTGAGAGGGGCATGCAGTACACGCCAGGGGTTTTGCCGGACCATCCGCGTCTTGTTCTACACACCACCGACACGCCCTCACACTCAGTTTCTCGAGACGCTGTCCAGCCTGAAATTTTACCATCATGTTCTGAATTTTTTTTGCATCGGAGCATATTGCAGACTAGTGATACAAATTCATATGTTTTCAGGTATTATCGAGCTCACCTTTGACACTGTGGTGTAAAACCTTTTATAGTGATTTTCCAGTCATGAAAGAATCATCTAAGCGGATTGATTGTTTTTCGACGTTATATGAATAAATGAAAACCTGATTGATCAAGCAGGGAAGATCGATAGCTTCAGATGAAAAGTAAGGAGATGAAAATTTGAAAAGTTAACAGCGCGACTGAAGCTTCAGCGCTGGTAGTAAGCAGACGAAGCTGACTCGCCTGGCGGCACGTAGACCGCGTAGGAAAGGTACACGTCTCCGCTGACTGCGCAGTTTAGCAGGCGCGTCAGCTCGCCTGTCACCGTCAGCTGCAGGCCTCCCCCTCCCTCATCGTCATCGTCTGACGACCACTCGTCGGCGGTCTCAGGAGCAAAATTATTCTTAGCACCGAACGTATTGCTTTTAAGCGTAAATATCTTGATTTCGAAAAATAGGGCTAATACCATGCATTGACTAAAATTGTACAGCGTATCATATTTTTCAATCAGTTTGGTTCAACATACGTTAATGTAGTTTTTCATTCGATCGTATTCATTTAACGGAAACTAAACGTGTATTGCACTCACCAACTTAGGTCGGTAAAATGCAGAGATGGAACCTTCCTTTTCAGGGCGAGTGAGCGAGGCATTCTCGATAGTGTACTCGAAATTCGTTCCGTCCGGGCCTTCTATTCTGACGAATTAGGTCTTCATGACACTTATACATCTTGCTAGCAAGAATAGAAGGCAATTAGACCTTCACGACAAATAGTCACATCTTGCTAGCAAGAATAGAAGGCAATTGGACTTTCATGGCGCATAGATATGTCTTGCTAGCAAAATAGACACAGCAATTAAACTTTCACGACAAATAGTCATGTCTTGCTAGCAAGAATAGAAGGCAATTGGACTTTCATGGCGCATAGATATGTCTTGCTAGCATGAATAGAAGGCAATTAGACCTTCACGACAAATAGGCATGTCTTGCTAGCAAGAATAGAAGGCAATTAGACTTTCATGGCGCATAGATATGTCTTGCTAGCAAAATAGACACAGCAATTAGACCTCCACGACACATAGAAACTTCCTGCCAGCAAGAATTGATCTGGTACCAACACCTTCAAGACACATGGACACGTTTAGCTTACAAGAATAGACTAGGCACTAGGCAGTTACCTACATCCTCATGACACGCACACGTCTTGCTAGCAAGAAGCAGTCAATAGCATAACCAAGTATTGAATGTCATTCTATGCACCCAGGACAAGCAAGGTTCCAAGAAAACCAATTGGTTTAGACTAATCTTATCAGAAAACCAATGAGAGATTTGGGAGAATCCTGATGCAGAGGTAAGGACGAATAACGCGTTTGCCCTATCCCAGACTACTTCCCTATCCCCAGAAGCACAGCAAATGCGATAATGACAACAGCTAACATTCAAGTCAAAGAAGGAACGTCACAATGCGACTTAGCTGCGGGTCAATTTTCCCTAAGCTTTCGTGTCATAAAATCTACAGTTTTCTGAAAAGAAAACGTCAGCAATGTTACTTTGAAATATAATTTAAAATGACGGATGATCTGGAAACTGAAGGCCCATTCAGAGATATTTCATTGAATAAAGATTCCCTACCTTCACACTCAACACAGAATTAAAAAAAAATTCGCAGTAAGTACTAGTCGGACTAATCATTTCACACTAAATAACATCAGGCAGCTTCTCGGACCTTTCCAATTCAGGTTATTTTCACCGGATTCATACCAAACAGAGGTAATCCGAACAAATTCTGCAAGAACGTAAGTACGACAAGGTATGCACTTCATTGCCATTTTGTTTTGTTGCGGCGATACATAATTAACCGCTATGTTTAGTAATACTTAACAGTTCAAGGTACATTTCGTAAAGAAAAGATACCCTTTCGTGGTGGTTTTGTGTTTTAACGGATGAAACCTGAAACCTTCAAAATTTAGTGAAGCGTATAGATGAATCCGTTAGTAGCAGCTTCCACCACTAAAATTATAACTGCATTCTATCGGAAATTCAGCAAAAGAAAAAAATTATGGAACGGAAATTAAAATATCTGATTACTTTACGACAATCAAAATATTTTATAGGTTTTGAGGTCTATCAACAGAATTGCTTTATAAATTTTAGGATAATTTTGAATAATTAAAAATGAGAAAGCAAACAATAATGCTTTCTCAAACAATACAAATGTTACATATAAGGAAGTAGAAAGCCTGTGTGAACAGAAAGGAAGCCGTTTGCGAACTTCAAGTTAAGGGAATGTATGATTTTGATTCTTTATAGTATAATTCTAAGGGTGGAACAATGGTTACAGTTCATAGTACCAATATTGGGGCAGTGAGTTGTGAGTTCGATCCCAGCTACCTGTTATAGTTTACTCAATCGACAATTCTACGGACCCGCCAGCGGACTCGCGTAACTGGGACACTCGTAATTCCTTCAATACTTAACGGATCTGTATGAATTTTGGAATATGAGTATTAATTATCGATACGCTGCCGTAGGAATTATTACAGATTTTTACATGACTTATTATTAGGTTAGGTTAGGTTTAATTAATACTCACATTCCAAAATTCATGCAGATCCGTTAAGTATTGAAGGAATTATGAGTGTCCCAGTTGCGCGAGTCCGCAGGCGAGTCCGCAGGCCAGTCCGCAGAATTGTCGATCGAGTCAATTTAGTCAATATCAGCGAGTTGGTGGGGCGGTGAAGCACAGTAAATTGGAGCAGTGAATTTAGTGTTCGAGACTCTCAACAAACTGTGAAAATTCTGCAATATTCAGAATAGGCGACAGGTCCAGACCAAATCAACGATGACAACGCTATACTTTCACTATTACAAGCTCACCTGTAGGGATGATCACCGGCGTGGCAGAAGTCTGGAGTGACGGCCAGTTCCCCGCGAGTGTCGTACCTCAGGCAGCACAACGTCACGCTCGATGCTTCCTCGAACTCGCTGCAACACGTCGTAAACACGTCCATATTGCATTTAACTCGCCGCTCTTCAATAAAAACAGTAAAATACTGGTACTAACGGCGATTTTATAGTTTTATGATTGCCGCTAAAATATATTTTATGATTGCCGCTAAAATATGTTTTATGATTGCCGCTAAAATATATTTTATGATTGCCGCTAAAATATTTATTTTTTTTGCGAACTTATTGATTCAGACGTAAATTTAAGTTTATTACGATTGAATCAATGGTTAGGTCCTGATCACGAGGTTTTCTTTGTTAAAATTAAAAACAGTGTGAGAGGAACAGACAGAAGAAAACACCCAGCCAAATCGTTTCTCACAGGAGGAGTTAGGAATTTAGAAGAATTTGGTTTTGAGCTTAGCTGGCTTGTAAAATTATTGATAAACCAAGAATTGTGTAATTTAACCGTGAAACCAAAAGAAAATCTTAATATTGGCAATTATTTTAGAGTATAAATGGGACAATTACCAAACTTGATGGCCCTAATTATTACAAATTGTGTAAGGGAATCGAACGAAAATAGAAATTTATGGTAAAATCTATCACTGTATGCAGGTTATGGTTATTAAAAATGTGTAGAGGCAAATACAATACGATTTGATTTAATTTATAGACATTAACTATACGGTACAAAATTGGAATGTGCATGCAAAGGAAATAGAATGATTGTTTACCAGCCACGTGGCTGGAGGTCGGCCATGATGACGTAGGTGAATGATCGCGGGAGATCAGGAGGAGGTGCCTCTCTCTCATCATCGTCTCCCCCCACACTGGATCTGAAGACATCTTGTTTAAATGGCAGGTAATTTTGTCTATGTATTATATATTTTGTTTGGTTTGTCATGCTAGAAAAAATCCTTTATTCGACTAGTTGAGTCCATTATATGAATCACGTCATCGTTGATAATTGGGTGACTTACATCTAATGGTATTGTGCTGTTCTTTCTGAAACTTTTGATACATCTTTAACAGATAACAGCATAAATTTATCCTAAATGAAGTATAAATAGAAGTATAAAGCAAAAGTATAAAGCATCGTGATTATAACCATTCCTTATATATTCTATTATATTATTATATAGGTAATTATAACATCGTAACCATTCCTACACTACTGTAGGAAGGCACTATTCTTTAAGTAGGAAAACAATCTTGCAACCTAATCAATAGGCAAGAAAGCGTTTATTAGTACGTAATGGTAAATTATTTCTGCCGTCATTAATATAGGAATGCTTGTTGTAAAACATCTAATTCTTCACGGTTTCTTGTACATAGCACACAGAATATTTAAAATACTTTTTATATTATAAAATATATTTATCAGAATTTGTCATTTGAATGTTAAATTGATCCCAATTCACAGACTGGAGAGCAAATTCTTTATTTGAAGATTTCAATCATAACACATGAGATCTCGTACCAGTATGCAGAAACTTGCGAAATAATTCCCCAAATTAAAACTCTGACAATAGACATAAGATTTCAATAAATTCATTTTATTTTATAATATAAATTGCAAGCACAAGTAAAGCAGGCCACCCTGCAAGGGCAGGGTGGCCCAGTGGTTAAAGTTCAGAGTACCAAGATTGGCGCAGAGAGGCGCGGGTTCGATCCCAGCTCTGTGCGCCAGTTTCTGGTCAGAATCGGCAAGGAGGCCGGGCGGTTAAGCACAGTAGAATTGTAGCAGTGAGTTGCGAGTTCGAGACCGCAAAATGCTGTGAATGTTCTGCGATGTTAAGAATCGGCGACAGGCCTACGGCCTACTAAACGCTGAAACCGCTATTATTATTATTAAAAGTCAGGTTCTCACCCGCCATGGTGAGGAAGCTCGCGGTTGCGGCGGCGGCTGGTGGTGGCCGGCAACTGCAGCAGCTGTAGGGCCAGAGTTGGTTTAGTAAAGCCATGGTTGAAATAATTAATTAATTCAACCATTAATTTAATTGAGGTTGAATTAATATTAATTAATTCAACCATGAGTGAAGCTTGGCGCCACTGAAAAGCTGGCGACGAAATACTGGAAAATACATAGAAGTTATATTGACTAGGAAATAATTACTTGATGAATAAAAATACACGGTCACTCAAATAAATGAGGAAAGTTATAAATGGGAAAATTTGATCGACAGAAGACAACGGATTTGGAAAAAAACTACCTAAATCAAGATAAAACAAGCGAGCTCTATCTAAAAAAACCTCTATGAGAATAAAGAGGCAAACAACGACCGAGGAAAAGCAATATATTAATTTCCATATATATTCTTGTGAGCGATACAACGAACTTCGAAATTTTTGCTGCCAATCGAGAATTGCATTTGGGTCGTCAGCTTTTTAAATACAACCAAAAATCTTCTTAATTGTTCTCCTTTTCGAAGTCAAAAACAAATGCGCTCAGCTAATCTCAAATTATCATGACGCTCAGCATGATTAATTATCGCGCTTAGCTAATTATCATGATTAAAAACTAAAATCATGATTAATTATGACGCTCAGCTAATTATCAGGATTAAAATTTAAAATCATAATAAATTATGGCGCTCAGCTAATCTCAAATTATCATGAAGCTCGCTCCGCATGATTAATTATCGCGCTTAGCTAATTATCATGATTAAAAACTAAAATCATGATAAATTATGGCGCTCAGATAATCTCAAAATATCAAGTTTCAAGATTCAATTAACTCACGTGCTGGCAATAAGGGTCTCTGTGAGTGAAGGTAAAGACCCGACGCTCGGGTCTCTTCTTGCGACGGTTATCTTTACTACTGCTCGCCACGTCGTCGATGCTTGCGTTGGGGCTGCAAATTAAAACCATGGTAACCAAATACATATCAATGCAAACAATAGATATTCGAAAATGTTTAATATCATGCGGCATTAACTAATAAAATAGAACACTAAATTTACGTTACGTTAAATTTACGTGACAATACGTATAAACGACCTTCCTGGAAAACTGACGCTTACAAGATATATAGATCCTAGAAAACTGACGCGTACAAGCCTGCGAATAAAATTTAGGGAATAAATAATAAATTTCTGAACCACGACGAGGAAAAACAAAATTGTGCAGCAAACTCTTACCGAACAACTTTTTGCTGCCACGTCAAGACGACCTCCTCACTAAACAACTGTTGCTTCTGCAGCGCCTGCTCTTCAGCTTTGTCTTGACTGGCTTCAGCTTTGGAGGCGCTGAGCAGCCCGACCGTAGCCCGCGGTGACGCTGAGATGAGTTCAGCGCTACTCAGCTCGCGCAATCGTACTCTGCGCAGTGGGATTAATATATTTCATTCTGATTGGTCGTAGTCTACTGTAGTTTATTTAGACTATTGCAGCGTTAAACTATCATTTCTTGCACGAAATATCCCACTTTTCTGAGTGAATAAAATAGAATGGCACCGTTGTAAGCTATCAGCTCAGTTCTTGACTGTAGAGCTGCATTCATAAATGATTTGACTGTAGGAAATTTGAAATTTTACAGCCTCATGGAATAAAATGTTTGCATCAACAAACCAACTATATTCAACTGATGATGTCGATTGTACCGGTCAAGTGTTCAAACTGCTCAAATTCAAAGGTTGTTAGAGCAACTTCTCGTCTTAAAAAAAAACAGTAGTTTAATTGTTTGAAAAACTAATCATTTCTTAAGTTTGTTTCTATGCTTGGCTTCACAAAATTCGTTATAAGCATTATTGGTAATTGCTAGTAACCTATAGAATCAATAGCTTAAACGTTAATTACGCCCTCCCCCTGTAACGAAATGTATCGAACAATATATTGCCACAGCCTTACTTGTAGATCTCTTACCTGATCTTGAAGTTTGCGATGTCATCTTTAGTGTAATAGTAGGCGGTGCTGCTAGCCGCTGGTTCCACGGCCATCATTTTCTTTGTTTATTCAATTATTTTCTTCAGAAATATTATATTAACGCAAAAAATAACTATTAAATGGTCTACATCCGTCGCGAACTACTTGATCGTCCACATAAACTAAGGCAGCGTTGGATAAGGAGGAAATGGTTGACAAGCTCAGACCTTTGTTCACCCAGATATAGCATCGCCGGGATACATTCAACGGCTGCCATAACCATTCACTGTACAAGGGTAATACACGCCAGCTATAACCATTCACCGTAGGAAGGCACTACACGCCAGTCCCTACGGAACATCTGATATCTAGAAGCGATTTTAAATCTACCATCCGTAAGGCCAGTCTAGTCAAGAAAAGTACAAGAATCGGCGACAGGCCTATTCTTTAATGCCGAAGATACTATACTACTATACTAGGTGCTGCAAGTGATTGTTTGACGACGACGTTGCCTTGGCAACCGGCGTACCTCGAAACATCAGGATTTAAATGAGACGTTAGAGCTCCAGGAGGGGTAAATGTCAAAACAAAGCCAGCTGCAAAATATAGTCCTAGAGCAAAAACAGATGTATAAGCTTTCATATGCAAAATAATGAGTAATTTTTAAAACAACAGTTGCAATAAAAATGGTCAAAGAAATTCAAAACCATAACTTTAAGCAATGAGTATAAATGGTTTATCGCCGCTTTTATTAAATATAGTCTTCGTTATCATAATTTTAAAAGGTGAAATAAAAAACGGCTCAGGAGTAGATGAACAATATATTATTTTCTCACTTACATAACAATCCAGATGATATCTCCTGGGAACGATGGTTGAAGCACAAGAGTTGTCAATATTTTTTAACATTTTTGGATTACTAATAATTAACAAAATTTTAGCCGAGACAGGAAGAATACGTAAGTTCAACGAATTAATTAATTCGTTTAATTAAATTAAACGAATTTTCACTATTTCATTAGCATGCTGATAAATTTGTTGACATCCTCATATTGTTGTGACTGCAACAAGGAGTAAATAATAAAGCAGTTTATGAACGGCATATTTTCTCAAAACAATCAACAAAAACATCGAGCCGATAAGACCACACCTACTTGCGAATAAAAACCTTTGCTAGAGTATGTCTGGCTCAAGTTGTTAGTGTCAGAGTTCAACGACAAAGTAAGTAGTTAATAAAAAAGGAATAATCTAGGAGATATTTTTGTGAATCAACAGGAACGACGAGCGGGCCACATAAAATGTTGGGAGACATGTATTGACCAATTGAAACTAGTGTAACTAAATATATTCGGTTTGGGATATGTTCGTTGTAGGATACTAGGAGTGTTAATTGTTAGGTAATTCGGGGTGTTTAGTTTTAGGTTACTAGCAGTATTAGGTGTGCTGTGACTAAGGGTGGTCAGGATGCGGGAAGTTGAGACATGAGAACGATGATGTAGGCAGAGGCAGCGAAGATGCATTCAAGCCGAAGCCAACCTGCCCAAAGGAAATTTAGTTAAAAAAGATCTCGAAGTAGTGTCGTCGAATGAAAAAAAATTGTAAGGCATAGGATTTTAGTTACGATTGTCAACGCACTGATCAATGCATAGAAACTCAAATCATACAGGAACTTTTAAGAAGATATTAATCATGAAAGTTAGCCTTATGTCTCTCTAGGAAGTTCTCAGAGACTTAATCACAAATATCGCTGGTTTATCGGAAGAAATTAATTACGTCGGCATGAAATACGATACAGCGACTTAGGAACATTGATATCAAACCTGCGGATGAGCAGAGAAGAAATTATTCATGGAGTTGGCGATTTGAGGATGGAAATGTGTTTTGTTAGGTGCGTGGTCGAGCTGAGGCAGCTTGAGAGCATACGAAGCATCAGCAGACGCCACAGTAGAAGACCTTGCGGAGGACGCAGACGCCAGAGAACCACTTCGAGGCGTACTCAGCAGAGAAGGGTTGTCGCTCACAACCTGGCAGGAGAGGTAAGTTGATACATCGGTTTGAAATCAACATAAAATGCTCGTCTTTACGCTCAGGCCCGCCTACAGATGTAAAGGTATCAAGAGGGCTAATCCTGGAACCGAACGAAAGGGGCCCTTTCCCGATCTTATTTGAGGATTTGTGAAAAGTCAAAGAGGCAGTCACACGTACCCAGGATTCCTGGAGGCGGGCTAGGTACGCTAGTTTACAACTACTAAGACTGCCTGTCGATGAGCTGGTTTGAGAAAACCTTAATTTTTCATTTATTTGCTATTCTTATAGGCAATGACAGTGACTCGTTATATTAAGGCAACACGTTAAATTTAAAATACATCATAGTTTGCACAAAGTACTGCGTTGGAATTTTGCGGTCGCGAAGCTAACTACATTATCTGCATGCTAACAATTAGTCAAATATCTCACCTTGTTGTTGTCAATCTCAGGAATGATACTTGTAAGATTGAAGTTAGACAGAGATGAAGAGAGTTGAGCAGCGGGAGTCATGTTGCCAGACGTAGCGGAACTTTGCTGTCTTTCCATCATTCTTAGAGGACTGAAGGGAACGCATGGGCCACTTCGGTGATTACTGCCGGCGGAGCCTCCAATGAGGGAGTTATCCAGCATGGAACTTGGGTACTGGGCATTACCGACAGCGCCACTAGACCCACCACACATATCTTGAGTATCAAACGCGAACGGGAAGCTTGGGTTAGGCGGAAAGCTGTTTTGATCAGATGGGAATTCGTGGAAGCGTGGGTACGGTGGTGGTGGAGGAGGAGGTGGGTGAGAACCAGTCATGAGATCGCTAGATAGCATTCCTGAAGAACTTGGGGCTTGGTATGGATAAGTGGGAGCCATGTATGACACGTTGCTGGCATACCCAAGAGGTCCAGCTGCTTGGTGAAGCTGAAAGTTGTAATCAGGAGTGCACGCATCAGTAGGGTTATTGGACGAACTACTGTAACCAAACGGAACTGAAGTATTCTGAGAGAAATTCTTCATTTGATGTGGATACTGGTAGACATTCTGAGTCATTCCAATAGTATAATTATGATTTATTGGTTGAGGAGGCGCAGCAACGGCCGCAGAGCGCATGTAATTCTGAGAAGATAAAATTGCTTCGGTGCTGTAGTTGGGAGTTTTGGACAAGCCCGATGAACTTTGCTTCGATGAATGCCACATCACTGCTTGCTGAGAAGAAACATGGCTTCTTCCTGGGCTGCGACGTCGACTGTCAGTTGCTGCCACTGTTTTGCCCCGAGATTTAGATTCGGTTTTCTTTGCACTAATGAGCTTCGTAGTCTTGTCGGACTTTTTGTCCTCGGATTTGGTCGAATTAGTGGACTGTTTTCGAGTAGTGTTTTGACTCACCAAATGAGTAACAGAAAAATATCTCACGGGGTCAGTCAGGTTTTCTCTTTCATCAGGCCCATCATCAAGCAAATAACTACTAACACCGGATAGATCGTTCAGGGCGCTCTGATTGTCAAGCTGGTAATTTTGAAGTTGTTGATCTTTTGCGTACGTAGAGGAAGCATAGCAATGACGCGAGTCCCCGCGAGGAGAGGTAGGGTGGCGTCTGTTGTATAGAGAGCCGGAGTAGTCAAAAGCCGACGGAGAATACAAATTACTGCCCATTAAATGCTCATGTTGTTGCTGCTGATGATGGTGAGTTTGGTGGGACTGTAATTGGGTATTGTGGGTGTGCTGATTGTGGTGGTGCATTGGACCAGACAACTGAAGATTCATGTGATGTTGCTGTTGTTGCTGCAGTTGGAGTTGCTGCATATCAAGATCGTGAGTCTGTTTCAATGAATGTGTTTGTTGGTGAGGTAAGCTTTTTTGGTACTGAGAAAACTGATTCTGAAAATTACTATTCTGAGACATTTGCATTTGATTCTGCATTTGGTGCGATGACGGAAGCGATTGTTGGGGGCGAACAGGAATATGTCCTTCAACAGAATTAGGGGGACTTTTTTTAGTTTTATCCGTAACATCGTTTTTCACGCAAATATTCGAAGAGTTCGCTTCGCAAGCTCTTTCACCAGCGACAGGTCTTTGATGGCTACTCAAAGAGGAAGATTCTTGAGCTTTGCTGCCAGAAACAAAATTTTTACCAATAGTAGACGTTGATGCTTTTTCACTTATAACGGAATCATTAGGTAAGCAGTCTTCCCGGTTAACATCAATGCGCGTTTTTAGGTTTGCTACAGTGGCAGGTTGGTTAACTACTTTATCAGAACCGGGATCTTTCTGAGAGACTGATGCATTGTTTAAGGTTGAATTATCTACGCTTACTGCAGTTTTAGGGCAACCAGCGTTTACCAGGCCAATTTCTTGACTAGCGCTGACCAAACGCGTGTCTTCGATTTTAGAAATTGATAACGTTGCCGATAGTAAAGATTTGGAAGACTCTACCAATGGCTTCAAATTAATGATGTTCCGAGATGAGATTGGCACAGATGAAGAAGATATCTCGGAATTCTTCGAGTTATTCTCCTGTCGATCAACTGGACTTTGCTGTGGAATCTTGAACTCTGTACTACCGGAGACCGCGGACGAGATACCTAGAGGTTTATCTGGCAGAACGACATATTTGTTATTCTGCGAACATGGGGTTGATTTTTGTGAATCGGCACTAGCAGACATGAAAACCTTTCTACTATCTGTCATAGAAATATTCAATTCACCTTCAACATGGGATCCACAAATAATTTTCGAGCAGGTCGAAGCAGGTAACAAATTTCCTGAGCTAGATTGTTCAGGAACCGAAGTCGGAATTTTTTCACTGCTACAGATAGGTAAAAGCATAGAACGTTGTTCTCCCTGATTATCGGTAATTTTGTTCGATTTCTTACTGGAACTATCATTCGGAAGAGAGTTGCTATAATTATCAGAGGCCTTATTTGGAATTGAATTGATTTTGTCAACAGGTTTTGTTGCATTGTTATCAATCAGTGGACTTGATTTATACTGACTACCCTCGAAGGTCGCAGCTGAAATAGAAACTCCAAAATTAACAGTGGCGCTAATTCCAGCGCCGGGTGAGGACGAAGTTAGGTAATCTTGACTGAAGTCGGTAATTTTCGCTGATAGAATTCGACTCGGTAAGAGATTCTGCGCCGGCTCCGTGAAAGCTCCATTACTAGAATCGGTAACAAGTTTATCTTGGCAAGATTTGGAAGGAAATGACAAACTTGTGTTTGCTGTAACGTCCGAGCTCCATGCTATTCCCAAAGACTTGTCATTAGAGCCAGATGATACTCCGCTAGGTTCAAAATTTGCGTTTCCTGCGGAAACTGGGGTGATTGAAGGAGTGGTATTTTTAACGGGACTAACTTCTGCAGATTGTATACTTCGAAAAGTGTTAATCGACGTTGACAGAGGATAATAACAAAGTGGCTCACAGCCTAAAGCAGGAAAAGAAGATTGGTGCGACGGTCCCCCTAAAATAGAAGAAGATCCGTCGACAGTTGATGAATCGGTTTCAGTAGAATTGGCACCAAAAACCGCTCTATGGAACGAGTTAGAATTATCCAACGGTAGAGCTACACTTGAAGTTAAGAATGGGAGAGTAGGACCAAGAAATGTAGATGCTGAATTCAGAGCTCTCTCAGTTGCTGAGAAAGGATTACAGGGAAAAGGTTCAACTCTAGAATTCTCATTACCAGAAGTAATCGCCACAGTGCAGATCGGCACGTTCGATGTGGGAGGATTACTCGATACATCATCACCCAGTAAAGAAGTATCTACACCTAGAGCGCTCGACTTGTTTGTTGAACACTCGGCAGAAGAGGAAGAGGGACATGAATGAGAAGACACTAGACCTTCTAAAGCACTATGGATCTCTTCTTTTCTTCCATCGTTATCAGTCGTGGACACATCAACTTTAGCAATGACGTTCGTTTCACAGGAGCCGGCGGGAAAAACTTCTGGATTGTATCTCTTTTCTTTATCATTGCTCGCAACTGACGATGACCATGTACCTTTCACAACGTTTGTACAAGCGAGTGATGCTTCGGGAACTCGAGAATTCTCCGAATGAGTAGTTGAAACGGAATAGTCACGAACTGCTTCCTTCACAACATTAGAAGTTTTGGGTTTACTCGGTCCACTAGCAGAATTTAAACTACTAGGCACGAAGAAGCCAGCTGACGAAAGCGACGTCGAGACAAACGAGTGATTAACACACGCAGAAGTTGGTTCTCTAGTCGCCGGCAGCGAAGTGGGTGTGTCGGATGACTTGGAATGAGAAACGTCTAATGAGATAGCTAGACTCGAAGGTAGCCGTGCAACATCTGTCACCAAATCGTTATACTTAGCCGGGCTAGTGGCAGAGGTCGATGATATCTTGATTGAGTTTCTTTCAACAGTGGAACTTGAAACACTCGAGTCGAAAGATTTTGAAACATTTTGAATGGAAGGGTACGATTCAGCAAAAGAAACTACAAACGTAGTAGGCACAAATGAATTTAAATTTGTGTCGGAACCAGCATCCCAAGACGATGTTATGGGGTACCTGTGATACGATTGAACGGGGATATTTTGGTGCACTTCATTGCCAGTTAAGAATGGAGGGAAGTTGAAATTATCACACGTGCTTGCACATGGCTGCGTGAGCTCAGTTTGGGAAAGGCTTGAATTAGAAGCATTCACAACTGCCGTACTAGAGACTGGAGGGTTTGAGGAAAGCGAAAATGAAAATGACGTCGGGGTTGAATTTGTAGGAGGCAGGGAAGCAAATGTGGCGTATGTTGGTGAATAATTTTGCGACGAAGAGAAAGAATATATGGAGCTGTTTGAGCTCATAAGTGACGATGGAACACACAAGTTTGGTCGAATTCCAGAGCTGAGACCTGTAGAGCTAGGACATAAAAATGAAAAGTTCGAATGGTTATTCAGTATCAAATTTGAATACATTGAATTCGAATCGGGAAGCCCATGAATTTTTCGTTCTTGTTTTTCTCGGTTATCGTTTAAAGCCGAATCAATAGAAGATGAATACATGGAACCAAACTTATTTTGATTGTTAGAGGAACTTGGACTTTCAGATAAGTTTGAATCGTTCGATGAAGAGGCAGCATTAGACGAAATCGATTTCGAATGGATTGGCAAAGTGTTACATTGCATTGGAGAGTAGGATGGTGTTGAAACATTCGTTCCCAGAGGTGGGAAGGCTGCAGTAGAAGGCTTTTCACTAAAAGATATGGAGGACAAAGATGAAGAGGATATGAGTTCTGGTAGAACGGATACAGAAATAACTGCTGTAGACTTCATTGAGGTTTTCGAAACGGCAGGTGATACAGAATTGATGCAGGAGGGCATCACAGAATCATAGGAGCTGAGAGTCTGAGTCATAATCCTATTTTTATTACCTATATTGGATGCTAAACTTGTCGGTTCATGGGTAGACGCAGTCACAAGATTCATTGGCAAAGACGATACAGGAATATAACTGAATGTTTGTTTATCTTCAACGGAATTTATAGGGGTGTTTGCAGGACGACAAGAAGTGGAATTCATTGAAGTCGAATAAGTAGGAAGGTCTAATTTCGAACTTAATGATTCAGTATTTACGTTTGTGTCGTGGCACTTGTTAGGTTCTGTCGTCAATGTTACATGACTGTCAGAGACGTTAACATTTCCATGGTCGGAAGAGACAATTGGTATGTTGATGCGGTCACCTTCGGTAAAAACTATACTTTCCAGAGTCTTAGTGCAATCGGTAGAAGACACAGCTGGAAGTGTGATATTACCGGATTCTGAATCCTTTTTTACACGAGATCCTTCACCTGCCATACTGGTACATTGATTTTCAAGTCTCGCTGGCACAGCAACAGGAGGCACTACGGACACGCTATCACTTTGATCATGACCAATTACTTTCCCCTTTGAGGACATGCACAATGCAGTAATGCTGTAGTTGCTGTTACCATTTGTAGAGCTAAAAATACTTTCAACAGAATGCGAGTTTACCTTACTGAGCGGAACAGTTCCAGGACATTCGCTGGTTGATCTTACATCTTCCATTGGCAATCGATGACTGTCTCTTGCCAAACACACTGAGGTAACAGATGGTCCGCACAATTGCTGGGTTGAAATTATCGTCATGATCGATTCAGTTTTGGAATTTTCAATTTCCCTTTTCTCTTCTGGGAATGATGCCTGACTCTTATCTGATTTCCAATTACTCTCGTTACCGTCAAGCTTCACTCGAGTAGAAATAGTACTATCAGTGTGATAAAGTTGAGAGCTTAATACAGCAGCTGAGGTTACCATGTTACCGACAGGCGAAATTATGGTAGGAACACAAGTGTTCAATTTCAGATCAGAAATAGTCGTTTTTGGAGTTGGGCAGTGGGAACTAGAATGAACACTGCTAACAGCATCACTCACAATAATGGAGGTAACGGGAGCCACGTGGCACGAAGTGGGCAAAACTTGTGGGTGAGGATCAACCAACTGATTTCGAGAGGCTACCAATAAAGACGATCGTCTCGATTCTACAATAAATGAACTATCATTTTCTGCCTGGGGGGTTTTTATAACAGGACAAATTGTGGACATAGTCGAATTTGCCTTAACAACGAGAGCTGAAGAAGATGATTGCATTACCTCCTCAGAAGATTTTTCGGGCTGACAGAATTCTGCAGCACAAGACATAAATTGAATCCCAGCATTAGGATGCGAAGTGTTGCAATGAACGTCAGTTGATAAATTGTCGCTAAATACAGAGGAAGCATTTGAAATAATGTTATAATTAGCTTTCAGACAACTATCCAATAGAGGATCTTGTGAGGCAGAGCGTACATCAGTGAAGTTTCCTACTATGGAACATGGAGTCACTGGCTCGACCTTTTTAGGCAGACTACCACCAGATGACACAGAAAGACTAGAAATATTGTATTCCGACGTTTCTGAAGTTTTAGCAGGCTCTTTTGAAGTATTGTCGAGAGTTTCGAGATTATTGTAGCTTTCAGTTTGTTTTTGAGTGGAATTTGATTCTGTTAATTCGCAAGAACTCTCATATGCAGAACTTTGGCTTGTTATAGTGGTTTGGGAAGATGAAGCAAATCTCATTTCATGAGTGCCTTCAATAGGACTGATGTCACTGAGCACTGTATCGGGATGGGTATTCTCAGCTAAATTTAAATCCATATCGGTCAGCGATTTTTTATCACTGGAAGGATCGGATTTATTTTCAAGCAAATCACTCCTGGATGATAAAGGTACAGCTGTTTTTAAACGCTTCTCTGATCTGTTGTTTCCAGAATAAGTACCCTTTCTTTTTTCTGCTAACAAATCTTGTTTTGTAATTGGAGGAGAAAACAAAAAATCTTTAGGCTCGCTATTCATCATGACAACATTTTTCATAGTCAGGCACTGCTTGGGAGCAATAGGTCTCAGCTTAGATAATGATGGCTTTAATGTGGGATACAGCATTACAACTTTAGTTTCAGGTTGAATGTCTGGTACTACATGCATAGGTTCAAAGGCAACTACAGCAGGAATGTTGGGAGTTTTCTTAGGTGCCAAAATCTTCAATGGAGGAGTAGCATTAGAGACAAATCCTTCAGAAGAAGGCAAAGTTGATGCAGGATATGCCAAGATTTTGCTGCTGTCTGAGTCAAAAAATAATTTTATGCTAGTATTCATACACTTTGGTAGCTTTTTCAGTAGTTTTCGAGGAGATTTAGGATGAATATTTTTAGGAGCATTGGGAAGACTTGAAGCAACTATACAAGATGCAACAGTATTGGATGGAGCAGAACAGACATCAAGGGAAGTTGAAGTGGGTTTGATATTTACAGTGGATATTACTACAGTGTTTGTTGAACTTGGTTCAAGGTATTTTACATGATTAGCATGAGACAGAGAGGTAACTGCACCTACAATGGCTGAACTGCACTCAGAAACAGTGGTTAAGGGATCATTGAGAACAATTTTTACAGTTTCTGAGTTTAAAGACAATGTGGAGGATACTTTACTTGGATCATTATTGATATCCTGAAGACCTCCAGCATTTCTGCAAAGATTTGGAGTTATTTGAGGTAATAAAATGGATGGTACTAAACTCAAATTGTTTTTTGTGTGATTTATCACAATATTATTCTTACTCAGAACCTGAAATTTCTCTGGGGTTTTACCTGTTATAACATTGTCGTTGTGTGACTTTCCAATCACTGGACCTATTGGTCTATTAAGCAAAGTCATTTTTATTTCTGGAATATCAAGAACAGCCACAGGATTTTCTACCGTTCTCAAATTTTTCTGATGAAGAGTAGGGGATGCATTTAAGAGATGGTTTTCATGCTGAGAGTCATGTTTGTTTGTGCTTTGTGTTAGTGTGTGGGGCTCACTGCGTGTCTCAATGTGGGGCTCAGTTGCCTGCTGACTGTGGATACTTTCTCCACCTCCTGGAACACACAATAAATAAATAATGTAATGCTGCAGAGTAATGTAGCAATCTTGTACACAAAGACTTACATATATATAAAAACATAGATATTATTTGATGCCATACTCATTATTCATAATAGAGTTAGGAAAAAAAATTAATCTTGCTTGAGGTAGAGTGATGAATGAAGGTCAAGTTATATATTTCTTAATTAAATTACACCACCTAATGAGATAACACCTACAAATGAATCCAGTCTTTGAGAACATTTGTGCAAGAAAATTTTAACTGTCACACACAATTTTTTTTCTTGCATATTAGAGTAAATTGCATTGATCCTACTATAAAAATGGATCTTCATGCATAGTAAATTGCCAAGAATAACTTTACAGAATAAGAAATATCTTAAATATCCTCTACATCAATCAGATAAGAAATGTACCTTTTTAATTTTTGAATTCATTATTCTGGAAAACTTTGAGCTGTAATTTTGCAATTCTGCATTGTTTTTGATGATCAATATTTCAGTTATATTAGCATAATATTCATACCAAAATTAGAGTCCACACTTTTGGTAAAGTTATTTGATGAGTGTAAACTTTTGCATCTCTTCACAAACAGCTGGGCTGCAATGACTATTTCCAACTTGCTTTTAGTGTGAATTTCAGGCGCTAGAGCTTCTTGTAATTTGTTGAGTTGTTCATTGAACCGTCCTCGTCGCTGAGCTTCATAAATACCATACTGTGTCTTGTTCCTGAAAAGATTATTTTGTAACAATTGAAAACAGCAAGTTTTGTTAGAGAGTGGATTGAAAAAACATCTTTCATGAACATTTTTTAGGAATATGTACTTGCTTATTATTCTGTCTTTCTCACAACTTTTAAGATGAATGTCATGAAATAATTCCTGAGACAAATTATTGTCCTCAGTAACATTCAGAAATGAATATAGGTAGTCTATGCTGAAGGTGATACCAGAGATCAGGCCAAGATAAAAGCACAATTTATGCTCATTTAGTTGCAAGATTACCAGGGTGCAGAGTATGCAAGCAGCGTTGCCAAGATGTGGATTTTAAGTCCAAAACGTCACCAGCCATTTTCAAGCTGCGTTACCGGGTAATTTTTTATTAAGAAAATGCTGATAACAACTTCGATAGTATATCCCTTACTCTCTATACACTGCAACACTTACTCATCACAACTGATTCTGGACAAGCTTCACTGCATCCTGACAGTGTGGAATTCTAGAGGGATAATAAATTAACCAGCACACATAGCATATTGGAAAGCAGGACCTGAAAGCTTGGAATGGCCAGGAACTTTACGCTTTCAGTCCATTATTTACATATCCTATCCCTTTCAGAATTCCAGCTGTGATTGGTTGATAGGATTGTGATTTTAGCCCCTTTCAGCTTTCCAGCTGTAGTTGGATAATGGAATTGTAATGTTAGCCTATCTGCTTTCTAGCTGTGATTGGTTGATGGGGATGCTTTCAAGCTGTGATTGGTTGTGCCCATAAGCCCTGCCCCCAGGTATGGTATATGTACTACAGCACTGGTTAACTAAATACTTGATTGAAACTTGATCATTACAAACAACGGGCCTGTAAAATGTAAAAAAATCCATTAAATAAAAGTAAAATAAAAAATATCTATCAAACATGAGACATCCAAATAATTCTTTTACAAATATAATGTCATATAAAATTGAAATATTTTGTCCACTTTTGATCCTCCTTTTCATTTATAGTCACTTTAGTCAGATAAGTCAGTCACCTGGCACAGCACTGTGGGGAAGCTTTTCAGCTTGGGTAGAAAGCTTATTTATAAGTGAACTTCCATTCTTAGAATTCCAGTCTGCATGATCCTGATCTAACCAATGTACCAAAAACCTTACTGTGTGTACTTGCGGTCTTTCAGATAATAATTGCTATAATTTCAAAGTTATTTATGAAAAGCAATAATTTCAATAAAAATGTATTGCAAGATCTTCCGAAGGCATAAATTTTGCTGCTGTTGCATTGCCAAAGATCTTATGATATTCACCACCTTTCTGCACCCTGGCAATATTGTAGAAAAATTGCAAAGTAGACATCTCCAATTTTGAGACAAAAATACCTTGGAAGATCATGATTTTATGTTGACAATTGCTGCTTTATTTTTAAAATAGACTAAAGACCATTAAAGAGATCTTTCAACAATTGAAAAAAAGCTTGTTGAAAATCTGGTAATCAATTCCAAAAAAATAGTTCATTTTCAATTTCTATAAGTAGACCAGTAAAGTATCATATTAGATACCAGCATTATCATATATTAGAAATTTGTTTAAATGTTGAGTAAATGAGGAAATTAAAAATGACTGATTCTAAAAAATCTCTGGTTTGTCACTATGCAGTGATCCAATCATTTCAGTGTTAAGATAAAAATGAGAAAAATGGAATATTTTCATCTCTAATTTTTAAAAATTACTCGTGAAACATATGTTTTAGCCTGAAATTTTAGGAAACTTCTGCCTGATATTCATAACAAGGGCTTAAATATGATCCTCTAGGACTCATGCTTCAAGACAGTGAATGATTCGAATTTTCAATGAGTAAAAGAAACCATCACAGTGCGCACACCTCAAATTGGAAACATTTGGAACCTCAAATTGGAACCCCAGTGGGCACTGGCCACTGGGGCCCTGGGCACCTAGTCTGGAAAAGTCCTATTTTTGTCTGAAATATCGCGGCTCTAATATAATATAATTTCAGTAGGTATGAAATCTCGCGGCTCGAATGTCATAAATTTTTGTTTGATTAAAAAATCGCGTTTGCACTTCGCAAACATGTCATTTCATAAAATTTTCAACTTCCGCAATCTGCATTGCTTTACCGTTTCCGCCAAAAATATCTTGCAGAAAAAACATAAACATCGTAATGTAAACAAATAAACGAAACGTTTGTTGAAGATCGCGCATAGTTGCGGTCATGTCAAAGCGGTCAGACTGTATATTAACACGTGCTGAACTTACAGTAGAGACAAATTTTATTGTTGCCGTTTGACTGTTTAAGGGTAAAATTAGAGATTTGGGGTAACACGTGCCTAAACTTTGTAAATAAATTCGCATTCGCACCTCGTAAATGGCTTTTCATGGCCGAGATATGGAATTCACGGCTCGGTGAAATAGAATCACGGCTCGTAGAAATGGAATCACGGCTGGCAAATCCATAAAACCACGGCT